AAGACAGAGACAAAATTTGAAGGCAATGTCTCCCTTCAAACCTGTTACAGTCTTCAAAATCCATCATACTATTCTCATCTATTCTTTTGGAAAAAAATAGGGAAGACGATTAAAAATGAAGGCATTTCTTGCTGCACTCTAAAAACGTGTTCAGTTCACTTACTTAAAAAGAATCTAGTAAACCCGTTGGCTTAAAATTATTAAGTAAATAAACGAAATGCTTAATTGAAAAAAATTAAGTTATGTGAACTTGACAATTCAACATTACGTTTTTTTTTTTTTTTTTTGATTAAGCATGACGTTTATTTAGGCCTACTTAATTTTAAGGCAATGGGTTTCCTAATTTTTTTTTAAGTTAAGTCAACTGATCACTTTTTACAGTGCACCTGACATGTTAAGGACTAACACAGTCAAATAGTGGTTTTAGTTAAATATCTAAATTGAATTTTCTTTTTTTACAAAAATAAAGAGACCACATATACAAGATTTGCCTATTTTTAACTTCAGTCCCATAAAAAATAAAAAATGATCATAAAATGTTACATTTGTAGTTATTCAATTGTTATGAGGTACACTTGAGCAGTGGTTGATGTTTGTTTTATAACAATTTATTAGCCATATTTAATGCCTGAGGTGGGAAAAATATAATATGTCGGAGGTTTGATATGTGCCTAATGATGTGGCATATTTAAAAATGAATTACCGCTAGTGTTAAAAAAATCCAAGTTGAAATATTACCGAATCCCAGGAATGACCCTGAAACCAAATCTTTTACTTCTACTGTGTGGTACTGTTAAAAGTAAAGTATCCGATGATCTGAGAGTCCTTACAGGTTCATAAACTGTAAGCATTTTTAAAAGATAGTCTGGAGCAAGTCCATGCAGTGCCTTATAGACGGTTTCAACGGCAACAACATAAACAAACGTTACTGCGCATGCGCGCTTTTGTGGCCCAAACTTAACTTCCGGTAGAGTCAATAACAACAGAGTTCATCTGTAGAAACCATAGACTTTTTGTGAGAAAAAAAGTCTCAATTCTGTCTTTTTTTCTCGCAATTGCGACTTTATTTCTCAGAATTGCAACTTTATTTCTCACAATTCTGACTTCTTATCTCGCAATTATGAGATTAAAAAGTCTCAATTATTATTATTTTTTTATTCTTCATGGCCGGAAACAAGCTTCCATAATTATCTGTTGCTTATCATGAGTTTGTTACCTGTAACGAAGTGAGTGCTACAGATCCTTGAATTCTTGCCTGGCTGCCAAGCCTCTCATCGCACAGCGGTGATCCACGCTCGCCGTCTCCCTTCGTTTTTAGGAAACCGAATTTTTTTATTTTTGATAAGGTATTTGTCCCAGAGCCTCAGGTTGCATCCCACAACACAACAACCTGAGCCCAACTTCAGTCTGCTCATCACCTTAATTTTCACTGCGTTTGTAGTCGGCGCCATATTACCAGAGAATGATATTATGATTATGATATTACCGGTTAACAAACACAGACCGGAAGTTAACTTCGGGCCAGCGCGTAACCCGGGCAACGCGCGTGCGTTCGATGAAACCGTCTATAAACTAATAAAAGGTTTTTAAAATCAACAGGTAACCAATGTAATGATTTTAGTATAGGTGTAATGTGTTCTCTCTTCTTGGTCTTTGTCAATACTCGAGCAGCAGAGTTTTGTATTAATTGTAGTTGATTAATTGTAGTCTTTGGTAGACTTAATCCATTAAACATGAGCAATTTTACTTTAACAATTGATCGTTCGCAGGCCCCTCCCCCAAAACGGCTATTGTCCAATCACACATCATAGCAACCGTTACTATGTGAGCAGGTCCGTCAAACATTGACTCCAAGCAAGATGGTGAAGCGGTGCGGCCACGGCGTTTGTAAATCGGACACTAGATACCCCGAGAGATTGTCTGGAGGAGTTGTGTTCTTTCCGTTTCCAAAGCCGAAAACACAACGTGCGCTGTCCCTACAATGGATAAAACAGTGTGGACGGCCCCACTCCCAGTTAAATGTGTCGAACATGGTTAACTCGCGTGCAGCGTGCGTGAGACTGAGACAATGAGATTGCTAGTCAAAGACACACGGAGAAAGCAGATCAAGACGATCCACAAAGGAAATACGTTTTCTAAAGTGTTGTTGTTAACATGATATTTTAGGGGGGAAATGAGCAGCAGTCACTAGCAGTGGAGGCAGCACCTGCCAGTGGCGTAGGCAGAAATTGTATTTTGGGTGGGCCAGTGAAAATGTGAGTGGGCCTATAGTTTTTCATAGAAAAAAATGACTTCAGTAATAATTAACCTTAGAGAGTAGAAAAATTAATAGACAAACTGCAAAAACAGTTACACCTTTTTTCCGGCAAATCATCATGTTCAACCAACAGAGCTTAATAAAGGCTGGACAAACCAGTGTAGACAATAACCTGTCTATTTTATTCAGCAGTGCAAAGACAGTTCACCCGAAAATAAAGTAAGCTAAAATAATAATATCGCAGCTAGATCGGCGGGTAAACCCGCGTCAGGCTGATCGGGAGAGAGGGAGCAAGAAGCAGCCGCCACCAGCACCTGACTAGCCTTCTTGTGGGTTAATGAGTCTGATCTTCGAAGAACTGGGCTGTGTGGACTCGGTAGATGAAGGCAGTGGTGTGTCTTCTCTTCTTCCTCAACTCTTGCTTTTTTCAAATAGCACATTAAAGAAAGTTGTTTAGCCATTATTGTGGCGCCGACGCCGCTGTGAGTTTTCCTGTCGGAACCCCCAGCAACCATAGCAACCAATAACGTTCCGGAGAGAGTCTACAACTTGCTTCGACAGTTCCATTTTTATTCGGAAAACGAATTAAACACACACAGCAGTCAACAATAAATCAGGTATTAATATATTTTCTTAAATACATTTGAATAAAAATAAACTAAAAATGTATTTTTTATCAAACTTGCCTGGGCGGGCCAGTGAGTAATGTGGGTGGGCCAGTGCCGCCCTGGCCCAATACTGGCTACGCCCCTGCTGTAGACTACAGTTTAGACTAACGTTAGAGGAGTGCACGTTCGCAACGGGGAACGTATGAAGCTTAACAGTTACTTGACAACATCAGTTCATATCAATATCGTAACGAATAGAAATAATGTATGGTTATCTGCATCTTTCCGTCTATTATGTATAGTTACTTTTTAAACACGAAAATCGCATTCAGCATGACACGCAAGCGGTTGCCGTGGTAATGAACAACCTGCTTGTTAAAGCGAATGAATAATCCTGTATCTGAGGCAAAATGACTAAATATGCAGCGCGAGTTATATATTTCTAACTCCAAACAATTAGCCACTGAAACAGCTTATAGAATCTTCTTCAAGGCTGTGCTGGTTGCATTTGAGGTAACGTTACAGGTCATGGGGTTTCTCAGATTTCGCTTGAGACCGGTTTGAGAGCTTGAGAGCATTATTAGCCTCGATAGTAGTCGTGTCTCCTTCATTGCGTATTTTAATATTTTGAATATATCCCTCCACTGCATACTGTAACCCCTTTTGCCTCGATCTGGAGGATATCGCGGAGGTATTGCTCCAAAAAAGGTCACTGACGCACCTCTTCCCGTCATGGCAATCTGTGGCGCTGGTCGTGTTTGACCATTTATTTGACGGGCGTAGCAACAATAACTAGGGGGCGTGGCTTTTGCGAACGGTCAATTATCTGTTAGTTTAAAGTTATGTAAAAATATAAGCTACAGATAATATAAAATTAAAACACGCTTTAGAATCAATATAGATAAAGCTTTAAAAATGACTACATATGAGCTTTCATATTCAAATGATATAGCAAGATATTTACTTCTGGCTGTGTAAATGCATTTATATACTTCATATTCTTCAATCTCTTAATCCTTGGCAGAAGAGACAATTCAATCGCACTGACTCTCTCGCGAGAAGTGAATCACAGTTTTGCACGTTTCAAGGCATGTGATTGGCTGTTTGCTGATGTCACACTTTCATGTGCTCACGCTCCATCAACAACATGGTAAAAAACAAAGCCTGATTTGACTGGTTTGGTTTTGTCAACTCAAAGCTAATCCTGTAACCCTGAGTTTGTTCAACTACCATAATGGTATATGAGCCCCTAGTAAGCCAGAAGTAAGCCATTCCCGCCTGACCAATGGTGTGTGAGTATTTGGCTGGATAATCTGGTCATCCAACCAACTGTTAAATCATTATTGCAATTCCATTTGGTGATGCGAGTGCTAGAGGAAATACACATTTCTTCTTTAATGTGTGTATGTTTGCAGTGTATTTATGTGTGCGCATTTCCAGTATGGATGTGTGTGTGTGTCTGTGTATAGGACTGTAGGAAATGGAGGCCTTTATCATTCCCTGTGCAGGCTTACCTCACCGTCTCTAAGCAACGGTTGCCAAGCAGCCCGTATAGCTGGAGCAGAACGAGAGAATGAAGAGACTGAGCACGAGAGAAAGTCTGTTTAGCTGAAGGACATCCTACACACACACACACACACACACGTGCATGTCGATAAAATATCACATAGGTTATCTTTTGTGTGTGTGTGTGTGTGTTTGAGACCATAGAGCTGTTTATGAAGGACTCTGAGCTTGGGTTCATCTGCAAGTTCAGAATGTTCCCATCTGAAGAGTCTCGGCCAACATCATCCTCTGAGAAAGCAAATGTGTGTCGCTGCATTGAAAAATGCAGGTGTGTCTCTTTCTGAGAGACGTGCCTGTATTCACTTAGTGGTTTATCGGGGATAAAGCACAAACTGTTACAGGAATTAGCCACTTGACATCATTTGCAGGTTTACGATGTGTTTATGCATTGCGTTTGGTGGTGTGTGTGTGTGAGTGTTGCGTATTAATCATCCTAATGACAGCTCTCTGTATGGAGAGAAGCTCCATTATACACTGGGTCACATTTTAAGTTTATTACATGACATAAATGAATTATGATCACATGGTTGTGTTGCACTTCTCTCTCTCTCTCTCTCTCTCTCTCTCAGGGTTGGATGACTGTTTGCTGCAGTATATGAGGACATTTGAGAGAGAGCAGATAAACGGAGAGCAGCTGCTTCACATCACCCATCAGGAGCTGGAAGAGCTCGGCGTGACCCGCATCGGACACCAGGAGCTCATTCTGGAGGCTGTGGACTTACTCTGCGCACTGGTGTGTGTGTGTGTGTGTGTGTGTGTGTGTGTGTGTGTGTGTGTGTGTGTGTGTGTGTGTGTGATTTTGTGAGTGAGGGAAAATGAGACTGGCTGTGATAATGATGTGTTTGTTTTGTATTAATGACACGACAGACATTTTATTCAAACTCCGCTTAACACTGAATGATTAACACCCAGCGGGAATCTCTCAACCAGTATACAAAAAGAGGAGGGAGTTTGTGTGCAAGGAAGGGAAGATGCGTTTTTGGTTCTGATTGGCTGCTGGAGGAATTAATGCATCATAGAATGAGAGGAGGAGTTCAATCTCAGTCAACTAGCTAACTTCCTCACAGCTGTTCATGCAAACCAATTCATCTCAGAAGCAGAATTCAGGTTTATAAGTAGGCTAAAGAGCTGTTTCGGGTGAAAGGATTACATGCAACCGGAGTCTAAAACAATTTGAGATCTTATCGCAGACGACGGCGAAGGGTCGCCTACTCAGTCATAGTCAAATGTTATTTGTCCAGTGTGCAGCAACATTGCAGACAGCAGTACTTGTTGCCTAATATTATTTTTATGCTATTATAGTATTTATTTATTGATTTTTTAATTAGATTTTATTTTTATATTTTCATTTTAGTTATTTATATTTTATTACTTTTTTTATTTAAGTTTTAGTCATTTTGCTTTTGTAATAAAAAAAAAAAAAAAATTTATTTCAATTTTATTTTTAGTCATTTTTGTACTTCAGCTTCAACTTTTACATTTTATTTCCGTTATTTGCTAAAGTAACATTTCCAAGGCAAGTTTTTTAACCTTAAGTTGTTCATCCAATATGTATATTTTATTTAAATTTATTTCTGTTTTATTTAATTCCATAAAAACTATTTTTAATAGTTTTAGTTTGTTAACAATAACAACACTGCTTTACATTGAAATGTGTGTTACACAGGCTTCCGTCTAAAATAAACATTTTAAATGAAATATAAATACGTAAATATAAAATTATAAAATTAATAAAGATTATGAATATCATACCAAAATAGTAATTGTATAAATTAAACATATGAATTACAAAATAATAAATATTATAACAAATAAAAATTGTATAAATTAAATATATACATTTTAAATATTATACATTATAGTCATCAATCAATCAACCACTGTGCTAAAACAAGGGTTTTAAACTGATGTTTCCATTTGGCTTTAAAATAAAATAAAAATAAAATGTGGTGCATTCCTGCCCTCTGAAGCACCATCCCAAAGTCTTTCGCTCCTTATACATTTTGCATTGAACCTTTTTTAAAACAAGAGTCAACTGTCACCAGATCACTCCTAAATTCTCATGGGTTCTGCTGACCTTCTTTTTATTTATTTATTATTATTTATTTGCTTTAGGTCTCTGCTATCATAGCTACCTTGAAACTTATTTAAATTCTAAAGATGCCTCGAAGAGCTTTTAGGTGTCTTGAAGTGATGAACAACATTTCAAAGATCTAACCCGTGAACCTATTTATGTAAGGATCTATTTATAATAGTGGTTGGAACATTGAATGGTGTCTACATATTAATATGCATGGCGGCTGTAATTTATGCAGCGAGGAGCTTGAATTAGATAAAAGAACAACAGTCACAACTGTAGAAAAAGACACGTCACTGCTGCAGATACCAGTTTACACCATATATAGAATAAACGGAGAAGAAGTCCCTCTGCCTATAAATGAGAGATGTTGGGTGCAGCTGATTAACACTATAAACAAACCCAAAGGAAATGTGAGAAAATCTACTGTTTGTTACTTGAAACAGCCAATTGTGAATCAGAATGGTCCGGTTATTGAACTATTTAGCCAATCGATACACAAAAATGATGGGTTCTCCAAGCAGCAGGTCTGAGAAAATGGCATTCATTCTGAGTAATGCATTTTTCCAGATATGAATGGAGACTTGATTGTGTGCTTTATTTCATTCCACAGTGTAGGCAGTGTTTTATTTCTGAGTATCTTTGTTAGTGTGTAGTGATGACCCTCTGAACATGCTGTGAGAATGCTGCTTGATTTTTCTGCTGCTTACACTTAGCTTTTAAGCCTCAGAATGATAAAATCAGCCATAAGATTGACTACTATGCTTCAGACCTTGGACCCTCTTAGGAAAAAACTGCTATTGCACTGTATTGAAAAGAACATTTTAAAATAATAAATCTCTCATGCTTTGTCAGACACACTAACATTCAAAAGTTTGTGGTCAGTAAGATTGTTTTTAATTTTTTTGAAAGAAGTCGTTTATGCTCATCAAGGCCGCATTTATTTGATCAAAATACAGTATAGCTAAACAGTAACATTGAGAAATATTTACAATTTCAAATAACTGTTTTCTATTTTGAAATGTAATTTATTCCTGTGGTGACAGGTCACAAAGGTGACAAATTACTCCAGTCTTCAGTGTAACATGATCAAAGACTGAAGATATACAAAGACGGTTCACTCATATTAGTTATAAATGTGAGAAGCAGCAACGCGCAGTATGGCGCAATACGTCCCGCCTTCTTTTTTATGCTCAAACGCTATTTAAGCATTAGAAACAACATTTTTGGGACAGTTCATATCAGATTTTGTTGCGGATTTGAAATATGTTATTTAATTGTTAGTTCAGCAAGCAGTTTTTTAGATTGAAGGATTCCCCCATTCAAATAGATAGGACTTGATCTTGAATTCCCAAAATAGCTGCCCGGAGGCATTGCAAATATGTCCGCTGAGTGAACAGACTTTCTTTGAAAGGGATTTTGCACATAATCCTTCAGAAATCATTCTACTGTGCTGATTTGGTGCTCAAGAAACATTTATTATTATCAATGTTGAAAACAGTTACTTCATATTTTTGTGGAGATTTTTTACAGGATTCTTTGATGAATAGAAAGCTCAAAAGAACAGCATTTAATTGAAATATAAATCTTTTGAACATTGCAAAAGTCTTTACTGTCACTTGATCAGTTTAATGCATCCTTGCTAAATAAAAATATTAATTTCTTAAAAAAATTTTTGAACAGTAGTATAACTATTTCAATAATGATATTTTTCCTGTTGCAGAACTATGGTCTAGAGACAGAGAATTTGCGGACTTTGTCACACAAACTCAATGCATCCGCTAAGAATCTGCAGAACTTCATCACGGGGCGGCGCCGTGGGGGCCATTATGACGGACGAGTCTCACGGCGTCTTCCAAACGATTTCCTGACTTCAGTCGTTGACCTGATCGGAGCTGCTAAAAATCTACTGGCATGGCTGGACAGGTACTCAAACCTCCCTGAACAGGGAATGAACTCACCTGGGCTGAATAGAACAGACCTGAAAGTCATATGATATCATAGAAATGAATGCAATTGAAATCAAACCTGATAGGTGTGTATTACTGTAAAAGGGAGTCAAATAGCCTTGATAAGCTGTCCAAAATAACAAATAAAAAGCAAACTAATTATATTCTCGTTTGTATAGTGGCTCTGACATATTGTAGTGTGGTGCTCATGAGAGACCTAAGTTTTGAGTCCAGCCCAGGTCTTGTTCCCAACCTCTGTTTAGAATGTGAAAAAAGCCCTCGTCTCTTTATGTATGTGTTTGCTTTGTTTGCAGGTCTCCATTTGTCAGTGTTTCTGAATACTCAGTGCTGAAGAACAACATTGTTCAGCTCTGTCTAGAGCTAACCACTATAGTACAACAGGTGTGTGTGTGTGTGTGAGTGTGTGCGTGTGCGTGTGTGAGTGTGCGTATGCGCTTGCGCGTGCGCGTGTGCGTGTGCACAAACAGCACAGTCCTTTATTATTATTTTAAATGTAAAAATTTTCTTCTCCTCTTAGGATTGCACAGTGTATGAAACTGAAAATAAGATTCTGCATGTGGTAAGTGTTTCTCAAGCCTCACACACTCTTTTACACACACAAACTTGTACACTTATACTTGTGAGGACCCCCACTAACTGTAGTAAGAGCATACTTTCGATTAGCACAGACAATTATTTTGACTCAGTACTGCACATTAAGCAGAAATTCGAAAATTATATTATTGTTAAACCATTTATGTGAATTATTTGTTTAAATGTGTATTATTTGATCTGTGAAGATGTCTAAATCCTGCTGGGACCACTTTTCTAGGTAAAGAACCGTCCTTTAAGACATTCATTTAGACTTTAAATTATCAGGCCAGGAATATCCTCCATCCTCACATGCTGGTTATAAAATATTTTACTATAGTTGTGACTTTATGACATTATGATTTTCAAAACGTATTTCATAAGAATAGTGAACAAGCACACACACACTTTTCATACTCACACACAGGCCTTATATTTATACACTCACCGGCCACTTTATTAGGTACCCCATGCTAGTAACGGGTTGGACCCCCTTTTGCCTTCAGAACTGCCTCAATTCTTCGTGGCATAGATTCAACAAGGTGCTGGAAGCATTCCTCAGGGAGTTTGGTCCATATTGACATGATGGCATCACACAGTTGCCGCAGATTTGTCGGCTGCACATCCATGATGCGAATCTCCCGTTCCACCACATCCCAAAGATGCTCTATTGGGTTGAGATCTGGTGACTGTGGAGGCCATTTTAGTACAGTGAACTCATTGTCATGTTCAAGAAACCAATTTGAAATGATTAGAGCTTTGTGACATGGTGGAAGTAGCCATCAGAGGATGGGTACATGGTGGCCATAAAGGGATGGACATGGTCAGAAACAATGCTCAGGTAGGCCGTGGCATTTAAACGATGCCCAATTGGCACTAAGGGGCCTAAAGTGTGCCAGGAAAACATCCCCCACACCATTACACCACCACCACCAGCCTGCACAGTGGTAACAAGGCATGATGGTTCCATGTTCTCATTCTGTTTACGCCAAATTCTGACTCTAACATCTGAATGTCTCAACAGAAATCGAGACTCATCAGACCAGGCAACATTTTTCCAGTCTTCAACTGTTCAATTTTGGTGAGCTCTTGCAAATTGTAGCCTCTTTTTCCTATTTGTAGTGGAGATGAGTGGTACCCGGTGGAGTCTTCTGCTGTTGTAGCCCATCCGCCTCAAGGTTGTGCGTGTTGTGGCTTCACAAATGCTTTGCTGCATACCTCGGTTGTAACGAGTGGTTATTTCAGTCACTGTTGCCCTTCTATCAGCTCGAACCAGTCTGGCCATTCTCCTCTGACCTCTGGCATCAACAAGGCATTTCCGCCCACAGAACTGCCGCTCACTGGATGTTTTTTCTTTTTCGGACCATTCTCTGTAAACCCTAGAGATGGTTGTGCGTGAAAATCCCAGTAGATTAGCAGTTTCTGAAATACTCAGACCAGCCCTTCTGGCACCAACAATCATGCCACGTTCAAAGTCACTCAAATCAACTTTCTTCCCCATACTGATGCTCGGTTTGAACTGCAGGAGATTGTCTTGACCATGTCTACATGCCTAAATGCACTGAGTTGCCGCCATGTGATTGGCTGCTTAGAAATTAAGTGTTAACGAGCAGTTGGACAGGTGTACCTAATAAAGTGGCCGGTGAGTGTATATTTCAAGTAAAACGTGTTTGTGAAGTCACGTGTATCTGGCCTGCTCTGAAGCAAACGTCAATGTGTGTGTGTGTGTGTGTGTCTGTGTGTGTGTGTGCGTGCGTGCGTGTGCTTTGCCTAAGGTTGGATATCCTGAATAATGCAGATTTTTCTCCCTTCAGGATCACTGCCTGTAGAACAGAGAGAAAGAGAGAGAGGGATGGATAGATGGATACAAATAGACAGAAAAAGATGAAAGAAAGAATATAACATGAATAAATATACATATAGCATGTGACTTATTAATGCAGATTCATTATACATTATGGGTATATTTCATGATGCTGAATGCCTTTCATGTGAATGGTTTGGACTGCTGCAGGGTTGCCAGTATTTACTGCTCCCTCCCAGTTCAACAGCTATAAATAGACTGAGAGATTTACAATGCAATTGCAAACATAGACTGACAACACTGTCTGTTTGTCTCTCATTGTCTTTCTGTCTTTATCTCTCTTTGCAGTGTAAGACTCTATCAGGTATCTGTGAGCACATTATTTCATTGTCGTCCGATTCGTTGGTGTCACAGTCTGCTCACCTTGAGGTTGTCCATCTGACTAACGTTATGCCTAGCGAGGGCCTGGTGAGTAAACAACAGCAATATCCCTTTCATACTCAACAGAAATATGAGAATGTTTAAAAAAGAAGGGTGTAATTGGTTGGATTTTTAGGAACTTTCGCTCATCACAGAGACAACTATAAGAAAGCTTTCTTTAAAAAGAAAACAACTGTTGCTCTGTGGTGATATCAAAAATTGCTCTGCTTGTTTAAATACCCGACATAGCAACATTGACTCAACCAATGGCGTGAGTTTGGGGCAGGACTATTTGTTTGTGTGACCAATAGCAGACAGGGAAAACTGTTTGAAAACAATCATTGTTTTTGCAATTCCATTCAGTGACAGAAATTACACAGTTTAGGACAGTTTGAAAAATCTGTTTAAATCTCACAACACTCTCATTCCTCTTTTTAGGGCATGTACATCAAGTCCACATATGATGGTCTTCATGTTATCACTGGAACTACAGAGAATGTGAGTTCAGAGCTGTATTTATTCTTTACCTGTCTTATAGTGAGGGTCCACCTAACATATATTGGGAGAGGAGCTTTTACATATAAATTCTCCAAATCCAAATCCTAAGATTATAAACCGCTGCTCTCCTCACTTCTTCCCACGGTTATTTAAGAATCCCATCTGGAATGCCAGGATGGTCATTTAAACTTATAGGCATGCCATTTAGGGGTGTGTGATATGTATTGTCTATGATGATATCGTAATTGTTGTTTTAACAATGTGTGAGCTGACATTATTAAGTGTCTCTCACTTTGCAAAAACCAAACCAAACATGCTTTGAGACTCCACATATTCACTAAAAATAGTGAATACAATAGCCAAAAGTAGCCATCTCTAAGCAACACACAGCAGTGTTTTGTTATTGAATGAATCTGAAATCATTTGAGTGAAGGATCCATTCATAAAGACAGGCACTTGCTTCATTTCTAAATGAATGAAAATATTTCAGTAAATGATTCAATGACTCATTAAGACAGGGACTTTCTTCCACCTTCTAAATGTTTTAGTTTCGTATTTAAAAATATTGCTTTATTTTTTGAAGCCCTGTGATGGACTGACCATCCGTCCAGGGTGTTCCCCTCCTTCTGCCCGAGATCCATGGTCTGACCATCCATGACCCTACATACTGTAGGACAAGTTATTTTGAAAATGGATGGATGGATTTTTTTTTATATATATATAATTTCCTATTTCAGTATTCAAAATTTTATTTTTAAAACATCAATTTCATAGTATTATTTAGGGCCAGAGCACCGATGGTGAAAGGTCCCTCTTGAAATTGCTTTGTTTATTATGTATTTGTAATTGCTGTGTACATGCATTTATGCCATTTCTGAGCCACATAAACAGTCTGTGTAAATACATCTAAATGCCACTTTAGATGCAGCTTCTGTGGCACCTCTGCAGTGCAAAAATAGCTTTTGTTAATGCTGCTTTCATTTGATTGGTAACAGCCATAATGGGTCTTATTATTCAAATTAAATAAATAAAAAGTACTGAAATAAGTGTCCTGAGAAATCACACCTGAGTCTGTGACAGCCTTAGGCTCTAAAAACAGCAAAAAATTGTCTTTTTCACTTTTTTAGCCAATCATGGAATGTTCTATACCTTTATGTGTTGGGGATAAGGGAGTCTAATTAAGTGGTTAAGCAGATGTTGGCAAAACATCTAAAAGTTACAATAGCACTTTTTGAACCACCTCTGCTTGTTTCCAAATAAGGTTTTCATTTATGCCAGTGTTTGATATTTATAGTTGATTTATTGCTCATCAGCATGAGACGTGATGTTATAAATACCTACAATAATTTTATCCAGACTGGTTTGTTATAATTGTATTATGTAAAGCACCATCTGAGTTCTTCTACTGTTAGATTAAAACTCCTACATTCTCAGATAAAATGGTAAAAAAGCGGTCACTGGGATGTTACTGGTAACCTAAAAAAGGTTCTAATTTACCATTTACAAGTACTAATATGTACACTTTTGGTACCTTTGAAGTACTAACATGCACTCTTTAGGTGTTGCTTTTGAAAGGGTACCACCTCAGTGACAGCTTTTGGACCTTTTTGTCTGAGAGTGTATAAGTGTTTATGTCAAATCTAAGATCATTATTGATGATGCGATGTGATAGGACTTCTTATTCTGGTCTGGTTTTCTTCATATTGTCAGTGCCCAATTCAGACAGTATTGCTCTATAAAGCACATGCTGTGCTGGAGCTCTTCTGTGGGGACAGCAGAACCAGGTCATCCGCATTGAGCAGGCACTTGATTTCAGAGCTGGCAAGAGTGAGGCTTGAAATGGTGGATTGTTCCAGTGCTGTTGTTAAATCATTTATGTAGATGTTCAGTTGGTTTAAACTCAAACATGCCTTTTTTTTTAGTTGCTGGAAGAACAGAATTCATTGATTTCTCACTCTTAATGCACATTTAGCCCACTGTTCAGCTAAATGGATTTTTACAGATTTTAATGATTTTTTTTTTTCAGTCTATTCAGTCTGTAGAACAACATATCAGAGCAAATGGAAAATCTTCTGAATAACATTCTGGACTGGTGTGGCATGGTTAAGTGGTTAAAGATTTGGAAAAATTGTAAGTTCAAACCTCAAAAGGTTTGAAAATGTCAACCGTTGTACACTTGAGAAAGGCATTTAATCTGAGGTTGCTCCAGGCGGACTGTAAGTCACTATGCATTGAAGCATCATCGAAATGACTGCTTACTAAATTTGAACCGATTATGAAAATATTCTTTAAAATAAACGTTTTAGCTGTTTATGCCTAAGTGTGTGGAGAGAGTAAATGAGCAAAAGCATTGTATGCCTAAGTAGATTGTAGAAAGTTAGAAACCAATGCTCTCCACGATCTACTTAGGCTTACGCAGCCCAGATGAGTGAGATTTTGATGAAAAGACTTTCAAACGTTCTTCATAGGGAAGGTCAACATTCAGGCATGTATGATACTATAATACAACACTGAAATGCCTTGGTAAATAATTGGTGTCAGATTTATCTCTATAATGAGCAGGGGTTATTAATCTCTCTATCTCTCTCCTGCAGTCTCCCGCAGATCAGTGTAAGAAGATCCATGCCGGTGATGAGGTCATTCAGGTCAATCACCAAACAGTGGTGTGTATCTTTGCATGGGTCAGTCATCTGTGCTTGCATCTTAGTGCATAAATGTGCCGATATTATATTGTTTGTGCAGATATTGATTGGCAGTTGATGCTCAAGGGTTTTCAGGTGGACCTCATGAAGCCTGTCAAGAACCTGTCTGCAAAATTTATTTGTAAGAAATGAGAAAACTTTACAATAAGGTTTTATTTGTTAACATGAGTTAACATACACTAACAATGAACAATACTTTTACAGCATTTATTATTCTTAGTTAATGGTAATCTTAACATTTACTAATACATTTTTAAGATCAATTTAATGCTGTATCGGTTAACATTAGTTAATGCACTATGAACTATGAACATTTTTATTATCTAACATTAACAAATGTTAATAAATACTGTAAAAAATATGTTGCTCAATGTTAGTTCATGGTAGTTAACTAATTTTAATAAATGAGACATTATTGTAAAGTGTTACCAATTATATATTTCTAAAGAAAATATTTTTACTTTAGGACCATGACTTTTTTTTGCACTGTATCATTGTTTTCTCAAAAATAATGCACATTCTATTCAAATTCAAAACTAAGCACGTTCCCAGCCACCAATTCTCTTTATTTTAAATTTCAGTTATATATGACAAAAGATTATATTATAGTGTGTGTATATATATATACATCAAATTCTCAGTTATATATATGCCTAGTTCTGTCATGAAACTTAAGATGGCGCAGGCTGATGGGTCCTTAACGCAAGCTGGTGATATTTACAGCTTTAACTACTTGGCACAAGCTGATTGGTTTATGTCGCATCTGCAGGCAATGAGTTTGCTGCTCAACATTTAAATGGCTTGTTACCATTCACTATAGCAGTTTGCAGCGTGCTTTCAGAGTTAGTCTAATACCCTCCACCTTCCCCAGCTCCACCTGTATAGATCGGCTATGGGTAATTGATATGTTATTTGTGCAGCACAACAGCAGCAGTATGTCTTACATACTCACAGCAGCATATCGGCATATGTATTGGCAGCAGCAAGTTCCTGTACTTGCTCTGCAGCAGCAGCAATAATCTACAACTACAGCTAAAATCAACAGCAGCAGTGTAGCAGATCTATTCCGCCAAGACCAAATACATTAACATTGTCATATCCATTACCATGCTAAAAATCTTCAGAGAGTTGTCTATATATATATATAAATATATATATGAGAATTTGAAAAGAAATACAAAAATGTCCTAATTTTGGGTTTAAATATAACCTTCACTCTACCAGTCTAATGTTATTTATGTATTTAAAATGTATTTAATATTTATTTTTAAATCATCTATATCTTTAAGGTTGGCTGGCAGTTGAAGAATTTGGTCAACTGTCTACGTGAGGATCCAAGTGGAGTCATCCTCACGCTGAAGAAGAGGCCACAGAACACTCTGGGCTCCACCCCTGCACTCCTGAAGAACGCCCGCTGGAAACCACTTGCCCTGCAGGTGTGTGTGTGTGTGTGTGTGTGTGTCAGGCTCAGGATAGCTCAATGTGTTTGTTCAAGTACATCCATTTAATATATAGTGCATACGAGTGTGTGTGTGTGTATGAGAGCATCTCAGAGCACTGAATGAGTTCCGTACGGCTTGTTGCCATGGCAGCCAGAGTTCTGTGGTTGCTCTGGATACAAGTATCAGACAGATGCAGTTAACAGCTTGCACATGTGTCCTCTCCTCACAGTCACGACACAGTAGAGCGGAGTGGACGTTCACTCATGAATGAATTCACATTGGCGATTTGAAGGACATAATGATAATTGACATAACCACTGATCAAATTGTGGTAGAACAGGATTTTCAATCCTCTCTGGATGATTAAATAAACATTTATACACTTGTGAATTACTGCATGAAAACAGCACTATAAATAACCTGATGAAAATGACTAAAGAGTAGAAGGGCATATTTACACTTAAATGTTTACATGCAATAAAACGATGCCCATTGATAAATGATAGTGATAAATCGATGGACAGTGTTTTTATGTATGTCTCTCCCGCCTCTTGTTGCCGGGTTGCTTTCTGGTGTTTGTTGCTATGCTTTTCCTCATTGCTAACTGACTGATGCAGCGCTCATGGTTGCTAAGGGCAACACTATCTTCGTTATGAAACACACTCTTGGTCCTCTGTTAATCAAAGGTCTTTAGACGTGTGTGTGACCGATCACTGTCCTGCCCTCTAGTGAAAAAAAACTACAAAAGACTAACATACTGTACAAGTATAATATGATTCATATATGAAAATATATTCCTGCCTGAATACTTTCATAATCCATCATGAGAAATATAAGATGTCTGATATTATGTTTTTTAAATAGCTGATTTTCTTATAATTATTTTCCTTCACATTAAAGGGGCTATATGTAAGAATGTTCATGTATTAATAGTTTTTTTATTAGCTTGTAACGGAACTTAAAAAACAAGACTTCCCTGACTTCCTAGTTTATGAAAGCCTGGTGTAATGATGTGGAGGACGCAGAAGAATCCATTTGCAGCTTTATTTGAATGGTCAACAGGCAGGGTAAATCAGGGGCAGACAGAACGGAGATAACCTTAGAGCAGAAGTGGATGACAGGCAAGGGTCGTGGCCGGCGGCAGGAATCACAGTTCAATAAACAATCCGAGTCGAGACAGGCAGCAGAACAATCAGAAGTCGATATAACAGTCCGAGTCGAGGTAGGCAGCAGAAGAATCAGAAGTCGGTAGAAACAATCCAAGGTCAGTAACAGTTCAGCAAACACAGGGAAAACGCTCAGAAATTGTACGCCGGGGCAATGCAATACTTCGCAATGAACTTGAGAGTGAATGGGGTTTATATGGGTGAGTGTGGATGAGCTGCAGGTGTCTGTGTAATCAGTCCCAGGTAAGCGGCATGATGGGATGTTGAGTTTGTGATGGTTAATATTCTGGTGAAAGTGTCCTACAGTGGTGAAGAGGAGGTGTAGTGGGAGCCTGCTCTGTAACAGAGCCCCCCCCCCCCCCCCCCTGCGAGTAGCTCCTGAGGCGAGAAGGCAAATGGCGCCGGGGTCTTCCACGGGGTCGAGGGGCCGGCATCTCCGGGTGCATATGATGAAACTCTTCTGTGAGTGTGGGATCTAGGATATCTCCAGCGTTGACCCATGATTGCTCCTCCGGACCGTACCCCTCCCAGTCAACCAGATATTGGAGGACGTTACCCCGGCGCCTGGAGTCCAGCAACTTGTGCACACGGTACGCCTCCTCGCCGTCAACCAGGATGGGCAGGGGGTCTGGAGCCGCGACTCCCTCCTCCAACTCTCCTCTCAGACCACCGGCAGGTTTTAGAAGAGATACATGGAATGTAGGAGAAATACGATAGTCAGCGGGCAAATCCAATCGAAAAGACACCGGAGAAATTTGTCTAATAATTTGGAACGGACCAACATACCTGGGACTGAGTTTGCGGCAAGGGAGTCGGAGTCTTAGATTCTTGGTGGAAAGCCACACCCACTGGCCCGCACTGTATTCAGGACCCGGGCGACGATGACGGTTAGCCTGTCGTTCTTGTCGTCTGACTGCATGAAGAAGGTGAGTGTGAGCTTGATCCCAGACCTCCTCACTCTTGTGTAGCCACTCAGTGACAGATGGTAGCTCAGTGGGTTCTCCTGACCAGGGGAACAAGGGAGGTTGAAAGCCCAGGATACATTTGAAAGGGGTAATGCCTGTAGCAGGTTTGACTAAGGAGTTCTGGGCGTATTCGGCCCAAAACAAATATCTGCTCCACTCTGTTTGTTGTTTTTGACAATAGGTCCGAAGGAAGCGGGTGACATCTTGATTCAGGCGTTCGGTTTGCCCATTGGACTGGGGATGGTACCCGGAAGTGAGACTGATGTTGACATTAAGCTGTTTGAAGAATGCGGTCCAAATTCTGGAGGTAAACTGAGGACCACGGTCCGATACTATGTCTTCTGGCAGACCATAAAAGCGGAATACCTGATTGCAGAGGAGTTCGGCTGTCTCGAGTGCAGTGGGGAGTTTGGGTAGTGGTATTAGACGGCAGGCCTTGGAGAATCGGTCAACGATGGTAAGTATGGTGGTATGTCCTTGGGAGTTGGGTAGATCCGTAATGAAATCAATGGCGATGTGGGACCAGGGGCGGTGTGGTGTGGGTAGTGGTGTTAAGAGTCCAGCAGGTAACTGTCTGGGTGATTTGGACGTGTTGCAGTTGGAACAGTTCTGAACGTATTTGGTGGTATCAGACAGTAATGTGGGCCACCAGAAGCGATTTTGGAGCAGCTGTGTGGTAGCGGTGATCCCAGGATGACCAGAACTGGGCATGGAGTGAACTTGATCGAGAAGACGAGGACGAAGGTGGTCTGAAACAAAGAGCAGATTAGCTGGGCATTCTGGAGATGGTCTCTCTTGAAGGTTTGCTTGTTGGATTTCTGTGATAATATCCCATTGTACTGGAGCCACCTGGAGATTTGTATGAAGAATGTTCTCGTGGGCCGGGGTTTGAACTGTCTCCTATGTTGGACGTGAGAGTGCGTCGGCTTTGATGTTCTTGGTTCCTGGTCGATATGTTACTGTGAACTGAAATCTGGTAAAGAATAGAGCCCATCTGGCTTGTCGGGGGTTCAAACGTTTGGCCGAGCGAAGATATTCGAGGTTCTTGTGGTCCGTGAGAATTATGAACGGTTGACCAGCTCCCTCCAGCCAGTGGCGCCATTCCTCCAGGGCTAGTTTCATAGCAAGCAATTCCTGATTACCCACATCGTAATTACGTTCAGCCGGTGTGAGTTTGTGGGAGAAGAATGCACACGGGTACATCTTTGCTGGTTCGCCTTGTCGCTGGGATAATACAGCCCCAACCCCTGTGCTGGAGGCATCGACTTCTACTATGAACTGGCGTTCTGGATCTGGATGATGCAGAATGGGTGCTGACGTGAAACGAGTTTTCAAATCCTGGAATGCTTGGTTTGCCTCCTCTGACCATCTCAGCCGAGCAGTGTGACGCTTGGTCATGGCAGTTAGTGGAGCGGCAATAATGCTGAAGTTTCTTATAAATCTCCTGTAGAAATTAGCGAAACCCAAGAATCGTTGTATCTTCTTCACGGTTTGAGGTAACGGCCATTCCAGAACTCCCTTGACCTTCCTCTCATCCATGGCTACCCCCTCCTGGCTGATAATGTATCCTAGGAATGACGTGCTAGTCTGGTGGAATTCGCATTTCTCAGCCTTGGCGTAGAGTTGATATTGAATTAAACGTACCAGGACCAATCTGACCTGACGGACGTGCTCCTCCCTAGAGTTTGAGTAGATCAGTATGTCATCGATGTAGACAATCACCCATTTATCTAGCATGTCTCGGAAAACGTCATTCATGAAAGACTGGAATACTGAAGGACTGTTTGACAGGCCGAAAGGCATGACCAGGTATTCGTAGTGCCCCGTGGTGGTGGAAAAAGCCGTTTTCCACTCGTCTCCCTCACGGATGCAAATCAAATTGTCAGCATTGCGCAGATCCAGTTTGGTAAAGTACTTGGCTTGGCGGAGCTGTTCCAGCGCTGCAGGAACCAGAGGAAGGGGATAACGGAACTTCACAGTCTGGTCGTTCAGCCCTCGGTAATCGATGCAGGGTCGTAACCCCCCGTCCTTCTTTACGAAGAAGAATCCGGCGGCTGCCGGAGAGGTTGAGGGTCTGATGAAACCTTTGGTTAGCTCCTCATCAATGTACTGTTTCATAGCTTCGGATTCAGGTATAGACAGAGGAAAGATCCTTCCCCGAGGAGGAGAAGCTCCAGGAAGGAGGTCTATGGCACAGTCGCTGGAGCAATGTTCGGGGAGTTGTGATGCTTTTCTCTTACTGAAGGCTTCGATGAGGTCTGCATAATCAGGTGGTATTTTGGGTTCTTCTGGATCTGACGTGGCAGTATTTGGATTTTTAGGAGGAAGGCGAGTGACTCTGGATAAACAGCGGTTTTGACAGGTGGGGCCCCATTGAATTATCTGTCCCTCCCTCCAGGAGATATGAGGGTTGTGGTCATTTAACCAGGGATGGCCGAGGATGACCGAATGATGAGGGGATTGGATGACGTAGAAACTGATATCCTCGGTGTGTAGAGATCCGACGTGTAGTTTGATTTGCTCTGTGGTGCTGTGAATTCTCCCTTCTCCAAGAGGTCGGCCATCTAGCGCCTCCACTGCCAAGGAAGAGAGACAAGGTTTTAGTTCCAGGTTGCATTGTACAGCGAATTTGCAAGATATGAAGTTCCCAGCGGCTCCTGAGTCTATTAGAGCAGTGGTGCTGATAACTTTATCCTGAATCACTAGGCGCACTGGTAAAGTGAAACTAGATGTGGTAGTATGGGTATTGGTACGGGAACTCACCGAGCGGGAGTCAGCAGATGGACGAGCTGGGCAGGCGAATCTCATGTGTCCAGGCTGGCCGCAGTACATGCACAAACGGTTCTGCCTCCGGCGTTCTCGTTCCTCTGGGGTTATGTGAGTAAAACCGATCAGCATGGGCTCGTGCATGGTGGGCGTGTCCTGAGAATAGCGCGGAGGAATTCGCACAGAGCGTCGAGAACGGATCAGGTTATCCACTTGGATGGCTTGATTGATGTACTCGTTCAGGTCTCTTCCCTCGTCACGGCAGGCTAATTCGGACTGGAGTTCAGTAGTGAGCCCCTTTCGGAAGAGAGTTTTAAGCGTATCCTCTACCCAGTTGGTTTGCGCCGCTAGTGTGCGAAACGTGAGTGCATACTCAGCCGTCGTGCTTCTTCCCTGTGATTGAGATAACAGTTGTTCTCCTGCGTTTCCACCCTCCGTGGGGTGTTCAAAGACGTGACGGAATTGTTGAATAAACTCCCCAAACGTGGCGAATGACGAACCATCCGATCTCAAAACCGCAGTAGCCCATTCTAATGCTCGACCCGTGAGTAGTGAGCAGACGAACGCTATGCGACTTGCGTTAGTGGTGTAAAGTGAAGGCTGCTGATCAACAAAGAGAGTGCACTGCAGTAAGAATCCTTTGCATTTCGTCGGATTACCTTCAAAGTTCTCAGGAAATGCCAGTCATGGATTGATTGCCGGGTTTGCAGCGGGTGAGACAGGCTCTGGTGCTACTGGTGGTGATGGTGTGGCGCGAGCGTTGGAAGCATTCCCTATCGCCGTCTGGAGTTCTTGTAACCCCTGTACAAGTTTTTCGGTAAGTGAAGTCAGATGGCTTAACTGTTGGTGATGCAGATTCAAACGTGAAGCTTGTGAAGAAAGTTCCGTAGATAACTGCATGACTGCTGCTGGATCGGAAGAGGGCGAAGAATTCTGTAATGATGAGGAGGACGCAGAAGAATCCATTTGCAGCTTTATTTGAATGGTCAACAGGCAGGGTAAATCAGGGGCAGACAGAACAACGGAGATAACCTTAGAGCAGAAGTGGATGACAGGCAAGGGTCGAGGCTGGCGGCAGGAATCACAGTTCAATAAACAATCCGAGTCGAGACAGGCAGCAGAACAATCAGAAGTCGATATAACAGTCCGAGTCGAGGTAGGCAGCAGAAGAATCAGAAGTCGGTAGAAACAAGACAAGGTCAGTAACAGTTCAGCAAACACAGGGAAAACGCTCAGAAATTGTACGCCGGGGCAATGCAATACTTCGCAATGAACTTGAGAGTGAACGGGGTTTATATGGGTGAGTGTGGATGAGCTGCAGGTGTTTGTGTAGTCAGTCCCAGGTAAGCGGCATGATGGGATGTTGAGTTTGTGATGGTTAATATTCTGGTGAAAGTGTCCTACAGTGGTGAAGAGGAGGTGTAGTGGGAGCCTGCTCTGTAACACCTGGTGACTGGTTTTTCATGTGAAGGACGTTTTTGCCAGGAAAATCAAAAGGATGTGACGTTTACGCATGCTTCCGAGAATCTCTCTTTCGTTCAATGGCACAAGAAATGAATACTACATTGTTCAGGATAATGCCGAAAGAGCCATTCTGTACTGTAATGTGTCATGCAAAGAAATAATTAACTCAAACTATAGTCTCACATAGCCAGATCTATGTAGTTTGTTGTCTCAAATATACTTTATAATCTAACTAACATTTAATGACCTTGTGTGTCGACATGATGCTGGTAAAAAAAAAAATCCACATCACTATGAACGGATGCTTTCTTAACTGCTGCCTTCTCACCGCTGTCATTGTGTGTTTATGTTAACAATTACTGTCACGGATACAAGTACAAAAACAAGGAAGAGAACTCAAGTGCAAAACAAGGAGGATTTAATAACAAAAACAGTACAAACACAAATCAAAAACCCACGAGGGGGAAAACATAATAAATGAACATGAAACCAACACTGACTCTGAACATATGAACATCGACAAGGAACTGGGAAGACGTATGACAACGAACCGACAAAGACTGCATACAAGAGGAGACTTAAAAAGGGAACAAATCAAGAGGGAACAGGTGGAACAACTCAAACACTAATCAGGTAACGAGGAGGAGGGATCAACAATCACAACAGCACATGGCACAACATAACAAAACCCATGTGCAACACAAGACAGGACAGGCATGTGACATAACCCCCTCCCTACGGAGCGGCTACCAGACGCTCCATCAGGCTAGGGCGGGCAGGAAGGAAACATCAAGGCGGAACGGAAGGGACTGATCGGAGGGACTGAAGGGATAGACCAGGGCGGGACAGACCAGGGCGGGACGGGAGGGACAGACCAGGGCGGGACAGGGACATCGGGCGGCCAGGGCGAAACAGAGTCCATAGGGCGGCGAGGGAGAAACACATAGTCCATAGGGCGGTGAGGGAGAAACACATAGTCCATCGGGCGGCCAGGGCGGCGAAGAGCCCTCGGGCGGCCAGGGCGGCGAAGAGCCCTCGGGCGGCCAGGGCGGAGCAGATCTTTCGGGAACAGACACCGGCTCGGGAACAGACACCGGCTCGGGAACAGACACCGGCTCGGGAACAGACACTAGAACAGAAACAGTCACAAAGACAGACACAAACACAGACACAAACACTGGGTCCGGCACCGACATGAGCTCTAGCTCTGGAACAGGCACTGGCTCTGCCTCCGGCTCAGGAACAGGCACTGGCTCTGCCTCCGGCTCAGGAACAAGCATAGGCTCTGCCTCCGGCTCAGGAACAGGCATAGGCTCTGCCTCCGGCTCCGGCTCAGGAACAGGCACTGGCTCTGCCTCCGGCTCCGGCTCAGGAACAGGCACTGGCTCTGCCTCCGGCTCCGGCTCAGGAACAGGCACTGGCTCTGCCTCCGGCTCCGGCTCAGGAACAGGCACTGGCTCTGCCTCCGGCTCCGGCTCCGGCTCAGGAACAGGCACTGGCTCTGCCTCCGGCTCCGGCTCCGGCTCCGGCTCAGGAACAGGCACTGGCTCTGCCTCCGGCTCCGGCTCAGGAACAGGCATAGGCTCTGCCTCTGGAACAGGCATAGCAGAGACCGGCCTCTCCAAGATCCGAGTCAGACGCTCCAGATAGTCTGTCACAACTTTGGCGGCCACGCCAAAAGGGATCTCTGGCTCTGTCTCAGACTGGGCAGACGGGACGTGAGCAGTCTCTCGCTGGGCAGACGGGACGTGAGCAGTCTCTCGCTGGGCAGACGGGACGTGAGCAGTCTCTCGCTGGGCAGACGGGACGTGAGCAGTCTCTCGCTGGGCAGACGGGACGTGAGCAGTCTCTCGCTGGGCAGATGGGACGTGAGCAGTCTCTCGCTGGGCAGACGGGCGTCTCCTCCTCCTCCATCCATGACAGCGAGAAGCCGGCCCAGAACTGTCTTCCACCGGTCCAGGATCGAAGGGGGGCCAGGATGGAGAGTGATGTTGACCCTCCTCTCGACCACCTCCTCCTCCTTTACAACCTCCCCGGGTCCCACGAAAAATTACCTGGCGGGTCCCCCGAAAATCTCTCCTCTCCCGCTCCTTGGCTGGGGAAGAGAAGTCCGAAAACCCCTCCGCTGGAACCCAGGTTTGGCGGAGTCATTCTGACACCGCCGATCGGAGAGAATTGGGTTGATCCAAATGTGGAAATGATGTAATCTGGGCAATCCAAGTCGTCGTCATCAATATACCTCCAGCAAAAATCCTCCATGCTGCTGAGTTCTCAAAGAGGTCGGTTCGTTCTGTCACGGATACAAGTACAAAAACAAGGAAGAGAACTCAAGTGCAAAACAAGGAGGATTTAATAACAAAAACAGTACAAACACAAATCAAAAACCCACGAGGGGGAAAACATAATAAATGAACATGAAACCAACACTGACTCTGAACATATGAACATCGACAAGGAACTGGAAAGACGTATGACAACGAACCGACAAAGACTGCATACAAGAGGAGACTTAAAAAGGGAACAAATCAAGAGGGAACAGGTGGAACAACTCAAACACTAATCAGGTAACGAGGAGAAGGGATCAACAATCACAACAGCACATGGCACAACATAACAAAACCCATGTGCAACACAAGACAGGACAGGCATGTGACAATTACATTGATGCACTTGGCAGACACTTTTATCCAAAGTGACTTACATTGCATTTCAAGGTACACATTTTAAATTCTTATCAGTTCTTGCTTTCCCTGGGAATCGAACCCATGAACCCATGACCCTGTACTGTTTGAGCTACAGGAAAGCTGTACAGGAAAGAGGAAAGCGCGTAGCACATATTTACATATTCATCTAAACGTTGCTCTCAATAGCGTGGACGGCATCGGGATGTTCGTTTACGATATATCACTGCGAAGGTATTTGAAAGGTATACGAAAAACAACTATGTGGTTTGTATATCAGGGCATTGAATCAGTCTGTTACATGTGCACGAGTGTGAGCACGAGCAATAAGTTGCTGGCTGCCATTCACTTAACGGCCACTGGTGTCGCTAATAAGGGTTTCTGAATTCTCCAATCTACATATAGCCCCTTACAATATAACAACAAAGTGCCGTTAGCTTTCTAGTCATGTTATTTTGTGCATGCTTTTGATTGGCAGCCGCTGTCCACCAGTCCGTGCAGTGGTTCTCCTACACCACCGAGCACGCTTGGGTCAGTTGGACTTTCACCTGGAGTGGACACACCTGGGGGACATGATGTTTTTATTCTTTCCCCTGTCTACGGACACAGGTATTTACATATGAAATATATGCAAACCAAAACCGTTAGTCTCTTTAAGCATGTTGGTGTAATTTCTTTCTCTTTTCCTTTTGTTTTCTTTCTTTTGCTCCTGTTGCCATTCTCTTAGAGAGGAGGATCTGGATCGGGGTGGGTTTGGTGTGTTTGGCTCCGATTCTCCAGGGTATTATGTAGAACAGGAGGTACTGGGGGGCCAGTACTTCCCCCTCCTGGAAGAGGATTCTGGGAGAAATACCGGACTGCGACGCAGAGACCGGACCCCAACTCACAGTAAGAACATACACATTAGGGCTGCAACTAATACTTGGATAATACAAATATGCAAATACATAAATGAAAATTCAAATAAATACAAAGTTCTGTCATGAATCTCTAGATGGTGCAAGCTGATTGGCCCTTCACTCATTCTGCTTGCAATGACATCATTCTTTATAGGGCACAGCTGATTGGTTCCTGCTGTATCAGTAGCCAATGCGCTCGCTGCTCAACCTTTAAAAACTCGGTCAGCATCAGCTATGGCAGTGCAGCACGTTTTCAGAAACCCTCCATCTTCCCCAGCTCCACATGTATAGATCAAAATGATTGGATTTAAATGATTTATCTGTACTAATTATTATTATTGATTATATCTATTTTAAGACCACAAATATTTGCATGGAGACAGCATTATAAATGACTGGCAAATGAACAGATGGATAAAATGACTAAACAGTAGAAGAATCTGCACTGCCCACTGATAATAATAAATCAATGGGCAGGGTTTTTATGTCATTTTATAAAGAGAACAAGACCTATTTTCAGATCATGAATATATATATTTTTTTTGCAATTTACCATTATTTTTAATAATTCCAATTCAATCATTTCAGTTCTCTCAACTGTTAATTTAAATTTTATATCATAAAATATGATATTATACATTTTATACATTAAAAATGCATAGTTTACATATCATGGTAGTATTTGTTTTACTGAAATTAATTATGCAAATTTTATTTAAAAAAGCATTGTGTCTGGACAGGATGATTTTGATTGCTGTATTATAGTTTGGATTTAAGTGATTTGAGAGTAATTATTATTATCGATTTTCTCAATTAGTTGTTGCCATCCTAATTCATATAAGTACAGTACTCTAGATTCAAAACAACATAATATTAGGCTACATACGGTTTCTATACACTACAGTATACTGCATTCTCTGTTTTAAATAATATATGAAACATTCCAACCGCACAGTTTCCAACCATGCATTTTTAAATTGTAGTATGCTTGTGCGATGTTACACAATGTACGTCTTACATCATGCCTCGATGGCTATTTTTTAAGCTGGACATAAACGCAGAGTGCATTACAGGAGATTAAGCCACCAGGGAGCTCCGGCTTTAAACTGCAAATCTCAGCCGTTTAGTATGTTGCATCTGTGCTACTGTGTGCATTAATACACACAGAGGAGATTATAGATGCTCTGAAACGCACCACAACATACACACAGACACTCAAATGTTGTATGTCTCTGCCTGTAGGTGAACTCCGACAGGTTACCATGGGAACTGAATGGCTGGCAGAGCCTCAAGAATCTGGAGTTTACAAAAGAGGAAGCAGAGGTGATGATTTTACTTTTTTACTACATTACTTTTTGTTTACTCCACTGGCGCCAAGTTGTATTTTAGATTCATTTTAAACTTTAAAACTTTTAATTGTCACTTTGACGCCCTTTTTACTTGAGCACAACTGGGATTTTGTCTATCTGGCAAGGAATTTGAAAGTGGTTCACTCAAAAATAGCATTAATAGTTCTGTCTTTTTAAAAACAGACAGATGTTGAGGATATTATTTCAGAGCTCAGTGTCTGTAATGTGAGGCTAACATAAATACTCCATCTCTGATCCTTACGGTATTAGTAGGAAAGAGAGGTGTAAGATAAACCAGTGGGTAAGTTGCCCCAATCATATTTCTCCTTTTTTTTAAGTGTCCATCATACTCAGAGATCTGTGACTATATGATCTAATCTAATTATGTTGTGCCAAAAATGTGTGTTAATGTATGTTTATATTTCTAGTTAACGAGGAGCTTCTAGTTATAAACTTCTTCTTGATCACTAAAATCTAGTTTACCAACATCATGTGTCATTCTCAGTTGCATATCCTGGCATTTGCCATTAGTGTGTGATTTGTGCAAGTTGCTTTGACTAACAACACGTCTGCAAAGAACGTAAATGTCACAAAACTGTAGAACTGACATTTTAGAGCATAGGAACTGAGAACACAAACCTGTAAGGCAGCGACTTTTTTCTAGTGAACTTTGAAACCAAAAGCAGGAAATACCGTTATATAGGCTTGTTTGTGAAAGCTGAGGTAAGCAAAGATTTCTTTGAAGAAGCCACCTAAGCTTCAGAAAGCTGGAGGAACGGCAGACAACCATTTCCTTTGCCTTTGGTTGATCAGTACAGCGTAGGACTTACAACTTTTTTCCCCCGGAATATATTTTAATGAGAAAAATATTGTGTGTGTGTGTGTGTGTGTGTGTGTGTGTGTGTTTTTTTAATCAGCAGAACAATGTGAGCATATTGGAGATTACATTTTTAGGCTTTTTGAAACTTAACAGTCCATCACCTTCACTTAATAATAAAAAGAAAGTGTTTACTGCTAAAAATGTTAAATATTAATATAGTATACACTACCGTTCAAAAGTTTGGGGTCGGTACGATTTTAAATACTTTTAAAAGAATTCTCTTCTGCTAACCATGGCTGCGCTTATTTGATTAAAAATACAACAAAAATCAGTTATAGTATTAAATATTATTCCAGTGTAAATCAGCTGTTTTCTGTGTGAATATATAGTAAAGTGTAATTTATTCCTGTGATCAAAGCTGAATTTTCAGCATCACCAGTGTCAGTGTCTTCAGTGTCAAATGATCCTTCACAAATCAGTATAATATGAGGATTTGATGCTCAAGAAACATTTATTATTATTATCAATGTTGAAACAGTTGTTGGTCTGTCAGTTGTACAGTTTTTTGTTTTGTTTTTTGGATTCTTTGATGAATAGGAAGTTCAAAAGAACAGCATTTGTTTGAAATAGAATCTTTTGTAACATTATAAATGTCTTTACTGTCCTTGATAAATAAAAGTATTGATTTCTTTCCTCCAAAAAATAAAAATAAAATTCTCACTGACCCCAAACTTTTGAACGGTAGTGTATATTATTATAAACACTTTAACCAAGTTGTTATCTTTAATTAGTAACTGAAGCAGATGAAATCTAATTTCAGCTGATATTTTTCTTCTTTACTAACAGTTCTTGATGTATGAGAACTAAAAGATTTAACCTTGATGTGTGATATTGACAGTAACCAACTTTCTTTTTTGGGGGGATTTTGAGGTGACAAGTTAACTGTTAACATGTAAACTCATTCATCACTACTTTGTTTTTTTTTTGTGGAAACACAACTTCTAAAATAGAACAGAGAATACGTAGGCGACACTTGCACAGATATAAATAGAAAGCAAACCTCCATTAGAGGAAATAAACCTCACACACACACACACACACACGCACACACACACACACACAGACACACACGCGCGCACATGCACACACACACACAGACGCACACGCGCACGCACACACACACACACAGACACACACACACACACACACAGACACACACACACACAGGAAGGTATCAGAGTAGCTTCATACTGTGGCAAATAGAGTTACAAAGAGTTGAATATTTTGCAATACGCTCAGTATCTGCTACACGCTCCCATTGCGCTGTTTTTCTCTCAGTGTGTGACTCCCTGCTTCCTTTCTGTCTTTCTCCATCAGATTCTGATTCCTCCCTCTTGCGGTTCCTCAGTGATGACAGGATTGTGTTGATTCAGGAAGAGGCAGAGTTTTCCCAACGGGACACAAGCAGGAGATCCAGGAAGAAGAGCCGGAATCCCAGCAGTCCCAGTTTCCCCATCAGTCCCTCTATGCTTGCCCCACCTGTGCGTCTGGACACAGGCCCCCCCGAGGGGCTGCCCTTCCCCGTGCCCGACTCAAACACGATGCCACACTACCATGTAAGTAAAATGTTGAATCTGATCAGAGCTGTCTTTAACTGCTGTGTACTGATGTTTAAATTAATCATTTGATACAACACACTTATTGTGTTCATACATGTTTTAACATTGCCCTTGTTACAGGTATTTAAATAATACCTGCAAGTAATTTCAGTTGTAAATAATTTCTGTAATTACATCTGTAATTATACTATTGACCACACCTTAACTCAGCCTTAAACCTAACCAAACCACGAAACCTTTCCCTAACCTTACCCGTATCGCACCACAATAGCAGCAAAACACAATAAGTACATTATACCTAACAGTTGTTTTATTTAAGTACATAGTAATTAAAGATACAATATAGTATAAGTGACCAAAATTTCAGAATTGCCTCATCTCGCAACATACATTTGATCTATATGGTCATGTGATTGTACATACACAAACTCACACGTCTCTGAAACAGTACTTAACTCAGAACAGGAAATTCAAATCTCTCTTCCTCTCTGTCTCTCTTTCTCTTTGTCATTCTGTTCATTGCCCCAGAGAACGGCAGACACACTTCGAGCAGATGCTGATAGGTGAGTAAATTCATTAAATTTTGAATTTCAGTAAATTCACCTTCCTTAATTTATCATACAGTTGGTATTATTTCTTTATTTTGTATGATATTTTTTATTCCCTGAATTTGACTTACCAAAAAGTTTCAAGTTTTTACAACTAAAAAGTCACAATTTGGTTTTTAGACAATTTTCATCTTTTTTGCCCCTTTTTTTGCTGGTTTGTCCTCAAGAATGTTTTGTGAACGCCCGCTTCACTTGTAAAATGAAGAAAAAGTGCTCTGACAAAAGCTGTAGGTTGCCTCTTTGCATAGCCTGCATTATATTGTGACAGATTCAGAATAGAATGAATAAAGATTTTTAGAGCAGCAGGTGCTACACACAGCCAGATGTGTAGGCGCTATACAGAGCACAAGTTTGCTGGATTTCCCCATCTTTTATTTTTATCATTATTGCTTCTGGTGTTTAGATTAACAGTATCAATTCTGCTTCCTCCTTATTACCAGACTGTGACTGGACTGGCCAAGATTCAGAACATTAATGTCATTGATGTGTAAATGCAGCTGATTATGTTAATATTCGCAATTTCTTGCATCATAAATGCAAGAATGTCAGAACGAGATGTTTCTGGAGATGTTCTTTTTAGACTGGGGAGCAAGTTTTGAGTTTTTAAAGTGACAGCACATCAGTTTAGTATAATAAACTTTATCCCAAAAGATGAAGGAGAGTTTGATTCCTCATGATATCTTATGATAGATAATGGCTTTGAAACCGGTCACTTTAAGTTCAGAATAAGCATTTCAAGAGTTTTGTTTGTTGATGTACAGGATATCAGGATGCTTCTCATGGCTTTGTTCGAGCTTAATGAACTGCCGTTTGTTTATAAATGAGGAACAGAAATTCCTTGGCTGCAGTCTTAAGGAGGTTTTTATTTCCTGTGACTAATGCTGTAAGAGTCTGTGGAGTCTCATTTTGTGGAACGTGTCTGTCTTAACATGGAATGACCTCCGTTTCTCTGCTGTTACGGTGATGCATACAGAGAATTAGATAAAAGAGTGTCTTCTGGGTGGCTAAGATTTTGTGTTTAATTAGTCTACAATTGTGTGTCTGTGTGTGTTTGTGTACAGGTATCACTATAATTGTGAGGTCCAAAAATGTCCTTACTATTTAAAAATATCCTCACTACTGAAGTGAAACCCGTTGAACACCAACTAGTGAGCTGGACCTCACTAGCTAAAATTGGCCAAATCTAGTTTATATTTAAATTTAGTGTTTTGCCCATGCCATGGATGCCTATGAGATGACCTCACTATATTGTGAAACAAACATAAGTGTGTGTGTGTGTGTGTGTGTGTTTGTTGGTTTGAGGGTGTGCGTGAGCATTAGCAGGAGTTTCAGTTAGAATCAGTTTTGAACTCAACCTCAAAAACCAGCATCCTGTCCATTACCTGTGTCTATATTTAAGTTAAATAGGTGCAAAAAAACCAAACATTTTATTTTATTATATATTATTTCTCTTTCTCTCTCTCTCTCTCTGCAGATATGCCAGTTCAGGACTTGACCGACAAGCAGGGGCATCAATGAGGAAGGTAAACCACAAGCACAGTTACAGCATCAGTCGTGGTAATGAGAATACATAGTGTTGGGAACAAGAGGTACAGATACAACTTTAACATTTTCAGTAAAAAAAAGGTGATGAGATACTGTATGCACTGGAGAAGATCTTTATTCATTGGAGAATCTGTATTTGAAGTTTGGCAACAAAAAGTGTTGCGGTAGTTAGAAATTAGTTGATGAACACCAGGTTTGTCATTATATTATTCAGGTTTGGATATTCAACTTAAGGTACATTTTGCACTATTAGACAGGCACAACAAAATATTTTCTTTTTGATATTTTTGATATTATCCATTATATTATTATTGTATTTATTATTGATTATATTATTATATTGCAATGTTTTTGTTTTAATATTAGATTCAATCGTGGTAAATTTAAATCAGGGAACTTTGCAGTAATTAGAATTTAACTTATTTTTTATAATCTAAAATAAATTGATTTATTTGTAATATTTAGATCTAAAGAAGGAACATGTTTATCTGTTATAGTATTTAATAATTAATCATTTCATTATTTAAAAAAAAAAATCCTGCACTTACTTGCAATGCAAAAGTATCACAATTTATTCAGCAACGTTTCGGTCCCATGACCTTCAGCAGGCATTTACCACATGATCATGGGACTGAAACGTTGCTAAAAATTTTGCATTCTTTTAACAAGTTGGGATAGTGTGCGGGATTTTTTTGTTTCTATATTGAGTTTTGGCTATAGCCTTCTCCCCTATCAATTAGCCACAGGTGTGCAAGGTTAATTGTTTATTGATAATGATTTTTATAGAAATCCTCACAACTGTGAATGGTGCAATTATGAGCCTTCTGAAACAAGTAATCTATGAAGCAAGTCCTATATTTCTCATGTGTCCTTTCTCTCCTCTCTCTAGTCTGTACATTATGCCTCTCTGAGGACCAAGCCCAAGAAGAAAAGCAAAGGTATGATGATGAGATCCTGGGTTTACTCTAAGCACTTAGGTAGTGTGTTGTATTACACTGTGCTGTACATATAATATAATGTGTGATTGTATTATTCCAAAGTTATTCTGTCATATGTGGTTGTCATTTAATATGCTGTGTGTGTGTGTGTGTAGGTTCCCTCAGTAGTGCCAGCAGAAGGCGTATTGCCTGCAAAGATCTGGGTCATGGCGACTGTGAAGGCTGGCTATGGAAAAAGAAAGACGCCACCGGCTACTTCACGCAAAAATGGAAGAAGTATTGGTTCGTTCTCAAAGACTCCAACCTGTACTGGTACACCAACCAGAATGTAAGCAAACAAACACAATTCCCTTCCCTCGGGCGGTCAAGGCTGTACAATAGTGTGTGTGTTTAATGTTCTTTTATGATCCATTTCCACTTTTGGCGTCACTGAAAAACCTCATCAGCTCCACATCCAGCAATTAATCTCTACTATTATTACCAATTACACAATTATCAGCACTTTCAGTACTCACTACTTTCATTGATGGCCAAGTCACAGGCTCACAATGCTAGTTTGATGTTTAGTTTTCTTGTCCACAACAATAAAATGTGCATTATATGTTCTCAGTTTCAGAGATGCTGATCTTTGCATTATGTTAACACCTACCATAGTTATGATGCAGAAATGATTTCTCTTGTTCTTTATTTGCTTGCTCAGGATGAGAAAGCAGAGGGCTTCATCTGTTTACCAGAGTTTCGGATAGACAGAGCGATTGAGTGCAGGAGGAAACAGTGAGTGTTAGAAGACAACAATAATAGCTCTTTCTCTCTGTTGTGTTGGGTTTGCTGGTTTTTTGGGCGGGTCTGTGTTTGAAGCCCATCGGCTAGCGGAATCTGGGTCACTGCAGAACTGCTGATCTCTCTAACACAAACACACACACAGTAATTGATTGTAAACTAGACATTTGTGACTGAACATCTCTTTTTCTCTGCCTTTTTTTGTTTCAGTGCCTTTAAAGCATGTCATCCCAAAATTAAGAGTTTCTTTTTTGCCACTGATCATTTAGAGGAGATGAACAGGTAAGTGGTTTCAGAGCTTTTTCAGACTTCAGCTGTCCCTTCCTGTTATTTCCTCTCACGTCTGTGGTTCCTGTTGCAGGTGGATGAATCGTTTAGGCTTGGCTGCGATTGGCTACACGCCTGATGATCCAGTACCACGTCCTGATGAAGGTGAGATCACATCCTGTGATGTTATCATAAGCCCATAGTGTGACTCCATTCCATGAATGATTGTACTTGAAGCAGTTGAAAAGCCTAGTTTGGGTATCATAATCTACTGTATGATGTCATGTACATGTGATCCTGATGTCATTTTTTTGTTTAGATTACTGGAGTGAGAGTGACCAAGATGAGGTTGATGGGTCTATGACACTCAAACAGGAATCCACGTACCACCACAACCCGTCTGTGAGTATAAACACACGTCTACGAACATATATGCATATAATCAGCCAAAAACTCTCTTTGATTTTTTTTAGCACAGACACGCCATCACACTGGTTCTGGTGTCGGTTCCTTATTGACGTTTAAACCTCACATCATGAACCAGTGACATCAGAGGTCAGGAGTCAGGATAATGTCTCAAACTAGTTTTTTTTTTTTTTATTAATTTAAAGGGATAGTTCATCCAAAAATAAAAAGTATTTCATTTTTCATCAATGTTTATATATGAATTAAATTCATATTGAATGAATTAAAGCCTCAATCAAATCTGTTCATCATATAAAGCAATCGAGTCAGAAAATTGAATTGAATACGGATTAGTTTTACAATCTCTTTATGAACTTTTTGAAGCATCAAAGTTTCAGTTGTGTAGCTGTCAAAATGGAGGGACAGAAAGCTCTCAGTTTTCATCAAAAAGATCTTCATTTGTGTTCGAAGATGAATGAAAGTCTTACGGGTTTGGAACGACATGAGGGTGAGTAATTAATGACAGAATTTTCATTTTTGGGTGAGCCATCCATAACAAAACTACATGGTACAAAACTAGATTGTTTTCGTTACAATCAATTAATCTAAACACAAGCAGCCAGTGAAGTGCCTCATTCCTATTCCTATTCACTCCAACCACTTTTTTCCTCATCGGTCTGAAATAAAAACATTTTTGGACATATGCAGCCTTGGTGAGCATTAGAGACTTCTTTCAAAAACCTTTAAAAAATCCTACCGACCCCAAACCTTTGAATGGAAGTGTACGTCATATTAAATCCAGCTCATGATGCCATAAAGATGTTAAATTACATTACTTTAGATGAGAAAATGAGTTGCAAACAAAGACTGATTCACTATGTTTGTTTGTTGCCAATATATGATGTAACATAGTCACTCACAGTGTGTCGTTTTTTGGGCTCACGTCACTGGAAACATGGGCCGGCTCTGAGAAAGGTTTGCTGAGCACCGGCCTTCACACCAACACTATTGTGGTGGAAAACATGTAGCAAACTCACTCTGTTGCTCTCTTTGGCTATCATCTTATACCTCTAGCTCTCTTACTGATAGATTGACAATGCTAATGAGCAGTGATTCTGTTGTCCTCAGGGAACTTCATCCAGTCCATTTCCTGAGCGTCATTTTTCCAGCGGCTCCACATTCTCGCATTCCTCTGCCGAGGAGTCCCATTCTTCTTGCCGATCCTCCCATCGAGAACGCCGCTCATGGCAGGACCTGATTGAAACCCCCTTGACCAGCACAGGTCTACACTACCTGCAGACTGCAGAAGAGGAGGTGCCATCCCTGCTGTCACCTGACCAGCACCGGCAGGCTACGCTTCCCGCCCAGCGCCGGCGTCCTCTGGAACGCGATGGGCCATTTCCATTGACGGACAGCGAGGAGTCCCGGCCCCGCCATCACACTCACAAGCAGCGCAGCCAGAGCCTCCCACGCCACCGCGACACACACGGAGGACACTCGCACCGCAGCGCTCGTACGCACACTCACGCACACACGCACGGCACTCTGAGGCCAAGAACTCATCTCCATGAGGAAGAGGAGGAGGAAGAGGAGGAAAAGCAGATGAGGAAAGCCAGCAGCAGGAGGCCTGAGAGCGAAGAGAAAGTGTCTGACGGCACGGACGGCCTGCAGGAGTTGTACCGATCGCTGGAGCAGGCCAGTCTCTCGGCTTTCGGCCAGCAGAGGCCTTCCACCAAACAAGAGTTCAGACGCTCCTTCATCAAACGTTGCAATGACCCCGCCACCAATGATCGACTGCACCGCATACGGGTTCTCCGCTCCACGCTGAAGGTATGAAAACACAGGGAGCAATGGACCCTTTCACACATGTGGAAGTAAACTATAAACTAGGAAAAATCAGGAAAGTTTGAATGTTTTTAAAAGAAATCTCATGCTCACCAAGGCTGCATTTTATTTGATCAAAAATATAGTAAAACGGTAATATTATCAAATAGTATTACAATTTAAAATAACTGTTTTTTTATTATTTTTTTAATAATTTAAAATGTGATTTATTCCTGTGATTTTCAGCATCATTACTCCAGTCTTCAGTGTCACATGATCCTTCAGAAATCATTCTAATATGCTGATTTGGTGCTTAATTGTTTATTATTATTATCAATGTTGTAAAACGTTGTGCTGCTTAATATTAGTCAGATTCAAAGTTCAACAGAACAAAAACAGAATTTATTTGAAATAGAAATCTTTTGCAACAATATAAATGTCTGTCACGTTTGATCAATTTAATGCATCCTTGCTGAATTAAAGTTTTTTTTTATCAAAAAGATCTCAAAATTTGGAATGTACATTCAAATTTTAATAATGAATATATAAAAAATTATTGCAGTGTTATCACTGTCTGTGAATCTCTGTAAACAAATCTAGAGGTATCTAATGGACAATTCTAGCGGATCTTCATAAACATTTAAGACTAGGACATTGTCAGCTGCCATCTTGACAAGTTATAAACCTCATCAGCTTAGCTCATGAATATTAATTGAGTGGCTTACTGTAGTGTTAACAGATTAAAATTTTTTTTTTCCAAAGCAAAATAAAACTTATGATAATTTCCCACAGTTAGACATTTCTGAAAGCTAAACCAATTACACTTGTTGCTACTCCCCTGCTAGCTGATATTTGTTAAAGCCTGTTATGCTTCATAAAGCAGATTTTTGACGTTTCGGTAACTTGCAGAATTTCAAACGCTTCAGCCAATCAGATGCTTTTTGTACAAATAATGAATTGAGCATCTCGTGTTCTGAATCATCTATTTTCCACCTCTCTCTCTCTCTCTCTCTCTCTCTCTCTCTCCTCCCTTTCACCCACAGGCAAAGGAGGGCGACTTGGCGATAATCAGTCAGGTACTAGACGATCCTTGTTTGACCTCGAGGAAGTTTCGTGAATGGAAGCAACGTAACCACGAGCTCTTCCTGGATATCTGTGAGTTCAGCTCTGCTCCATTGGAACCGCCCAGCGATTCCAACGACCTTTCACCTCTCTCGCCAACGTTGATGATGCACACTCACTCTTTCATAGAAACGCACGTGTGAAAGTCACTGTCACGCACCCGCACGACAAACAAACAGTCACATGCTGAAAATACAGACATAAAGGTATATGAATAGCCTGAGTGGTGTGTTTCAAACCCACACACACACAGACACACACTTTGAAAAACACTGTGGATCCAGACTGTCTTCACTTTTTCCTTGACGGATGACCTGATACTGCCCTCCTCCCGAGCGTGAGTGACACCAGATTGAACCAATACACTGTAAGATCAATGTCAAAGAAGTGACCCAGCCTCCAGAACTACGGCAGACACACACGCAGGCACTGACACCAGAGGGTGACTCGAACTGCTCGTCGTAAAAAGCAAAGTGTTACCTGCACATCTACGGCTCATTGCAAACTCTGTACAATATATTTCATCACAGCCACAGTTTAAGACGGATGGAAGAAAGGCCCCGTGAGGTGCCCGCTGCATGCCTGAAGACTCATCTTTTCAGATTAATTGACCACCAGTTGAACAAAATAGGACCGTATATAAAAACGAATCTCTTATTTTTGTCTCTGATTGGAGTAAAAAAAATGATCTTTTTTTATATCTTCAGAAGATTTTTGTTCATTTGTTTATTTGATTTTTTTTCCCTTCCCTCGGAATGCTGCAGGAAGAGCACTCATGTAGCCATGGGCAACAGGCTTCACTCTGTTACCAAGCAACACCGCCCTACTGTGTTACTCTATACAACTCTCGAAGCAAGCAAGAGTGTTGAAAAGTGTGTGTGTGTGTGTGTGCGTATGTGTGCGTGTATTAGAGAAATGAGAGAAAGAAAGAGAGTCAGATGGATGCAGAAGAGTCTCTTTTTGAGAGTTTGATGACCATTGCGTTCGTATATGGTAAAAGATGAACTCCTGGCAGGTAGTAACGTGTTTAATTTGGCTTCTTTAGAATATTTATATTATAGCTAAACTCATGCATGGTTTAAAAAATTATTACTATATGCTATCAGGCCAGAGAACAGTCTGTATATAAGATCATATTATTTGCATAGCTGCATCCTCTGTTTAAAACTGTGAATTGTACTCGTGAATGCAATCTTTCGACTCTGCCAACGCAGAACCTTTCTACTCTCTATTTTTTTCTACAAAAAAAGATGACAAAAGATGAAAAGCTTTGCTTCTCTGATGTTATGACTGTTTTTGCTTGTTTCCGGGTCTTTGCTGGTCATTACCTCTGAGCTATGGGCTACATTCAGGTTGTTAGTTTTCTGTTTGCTAATGTACGTGTCCCTTAGACAGACTCCACCAGCCTAAAGCCAACGTTTTATTCCCTTTCGCAATTCTGGACGTCAGTGGCTCAGGATTCTAGAATTGGATAAAGTGCAATGGGAGAGAATTTGAGGTTAAAATACAAAAAAACAAACAAAAAAATCCAATTGGTTCATTCCAGGCTGTGGAGTGCAAAACGTACCCCTGCTAAATGTTGTGTGTGTGTGTGTGTGTGTGTGTGTGTGTGTGTGTGTGTTCCCATTTTGTTCACATTAAAACATCATCAAGACACATTGGTTTTAATGCAGCCCTGCATATGTGCTCAGTGTTACAGTTATGTTTGATTGTCACTTTTTAGAATCTCGTGGGATGTATTTTAATTGAATAGAATGTACTCATTCAATGGCTTGTTAATTGTAAATTTCATTGGAACAAATGACACGCACTACCCACACACAGACTTTTATGTCCGTGGTCGATGCTTTCTTACCAAAGCGAGTCTCAAATTCACATCTGCCTGTTACAGTTACTGTTTTAATGATTCTTTTTATGTAGAATGTTGGTTACACTTTACTGTGCTTCATCTCATGGTGTGTGTGTGTGTGTGTGAGTGTGTGAGTGTTATCCAGGCCATCGGGGTTTCACTGTGGTTTTAAGGGCATGTCCCCCCTTCTCTCCCCCACACGGCTATGCTGTATAAGGTGTAAGTTGCACTGCAACATTGAGACGGAACATATTGCTCTTTTTTCAAGGTTTTCTTTCAAAAATGTCCCCTTCTGTATATTAAGACACCAGGAAAAGCCTGATATTTATTCACAGTATTATTCAAAGCTAACCCTCTTTGCTTTCAGAAATATAAATACATATATAAATATATATAATACAGATTGTAAAATGTTAAACTAATAAACTGAGTTCTCTGCACTCTGCATTTGTTTGTTGTCGTGTGATGCTTCCAATATCCATCATTTTTGATGTACTGTACATCCACTGACAAGCAATACCAATTTCACTTGGTTTATCTAATAAAGGGTCAGTTTTGATTGGGCTCTCATCAACAGGAAGAATCTTACCACTAAACCAACATCATATATAGATTTATAGATTATCTGGTCATTCTTATTTATTTTCTTTTAATTTTTGCTCCCCCACATCTAAAATCAAAACATTAACGCCTGATTACTTACAGTGTCTCTGCACATTAAACTGCAATGGGAGACAAAACAAATTATACACTTGTAATGTGTAGCCTATATATCGTCAAATACCCCAATTGGACCATAAGACGGTCTTTTCATATGTCAAGACAATGGAAGCTCGGTTTACATTAATAATAATAAAATCAATAGCAATAATAATTGTTATTATTATTACCCCTTTCATGCATGAATTATGATAACCTCAGTCAGGATCAGAAAAAAAAGTAGGATAGAAGGAATGGGTGGATATTAAGGAGCAACTTGGCATTTCTGACTGACCATTGGCCATCTTGGTTTGGAGGGGGAGAAAAATCGACACACAACGGCTTGCCACTTGGTTGCAATGTATAGGATGATGCACCAGGGTCCATTCTAGAGGTTGATGTCCAACCATGCCATCAAAACCCGTGCATTGTAATGACCTCTATGCATGAAAGAAGCCAATCAGGAATATTCTCTCGCGTTTTGAGGGCTTTCGTGGCTCCTCCTGCTTTCCGTAGTGAGACCGAAGGGGGCGGGACCGGCATGGCGGCCAAGGTGAGTTTACACTTCCAACTGAGTTAGTTCAAATGATCATGTGTATTCTTTTATAATATGTCCATTCTGCAGCAGAGTATCACACATCTCGTCAAGTATAATTTCTCATGAGTTGCATGATGCAGCTGTTAATCAGAGCGTGAGCGCGCTGTTTGTTAAACCACAGCGAAGAACATGCTGTTCCTAAACTCACTCTCACACATAATGATCTGTTTGAGGCACCTGTCTCTAGTTTTCGGGAAACGACACTCTCTCTTTCGCTTTCTTTTACTCAGAAGACTCAAAAGACAGCTTTTGGTTTGGGATTATTACACGCAGTAAAGCGTCTTCTCTTGCTTCAGTCCATTAAACTAATACAGATAATGTGCTTAAGGGAAGATCAAGAAGCTGAAAGGGGGAAAACGCTCAGCCAGGACAAAGCTGATTGTTATACTACAAATGTCATTATATTATTATAGGCATTATATTACTGCAAACATGTTCACTGAAAACTACACAACACATATGTACCATATCATATTCCCATGTTTTGGGCATGAAATATGGTAGTAACATTTAAGTCCTATGGTATGAATATGCAATACTTCAGCATGATGGTCAACCACTGAAGTGAGTCTTTATTAATAAAATATTGTGTTGATCCTCAGATTCTAAAGTACGCAGCGCTTCCTGCTGCTGCTGCAGTGGGTTTGGGCTCACTCAGAATTTATTCCATGAATGAGAAAAACAATGAGGAGCTAATATCTCCAAGAGAGGTAAGAAGTCATGTTTGGAATAGAGTACACCTATTAGCAGTGTTTATTGATGTACGTATGTGCATTATTGGGGATGCATTAATTTAGCAAGGATGCATTTATTGGATCAAAAGCAACAAATATTTATAATGTTACAAACGATTTAATTAAAATAAATTCTGAAAAATATGTTATGTTTTCCACAAAAGTTCCTGAGCAGTAAATCAGCATATTAGATTTAGAATATTGATCATGTGACACTGAAGACTGGAGTAATGATGGTGAAAATTCAGCTTTGCCATTACAGGAATAAATTACATTTTTAAATTGTAATATTTCACAATATTACTGTTTTTGATAAAAATAAATGCAGCCTCAGGAGATTAAGAGACTTTAAAGACCCCAAACTTTTGAACAGTAGTGTATTAGTGTGAAGTAATGCATTATGTTAAATATATCAGCATGACCTCTCTTTCTGTTTCTGCCTCTGTCCAGTTGTCTATCTACTCCCCAGATGTTCCTGCTGTGCCGTTAGTGGAAGAGCCCCCTGGTGTAGTGCAGACGGGGCTGGGGGCCGTTAGGACGGGCCTGCAGCCGTATGTCAGAGCCGCGCAGGTCTGATACACATGCTGTCCTGTGACCTGTCACACTATGATAAGGAATTAGTTTGTCATTAGCCATGTTTCCGTCCACCTATTTCTATGCAAATTTTGAAATATCGCATAAAGCGCTGGATGGAAACACCAAGATTCACATACATTCTAAAAATGTGCATAAAAAAAAAATCTTATTCACTCAATTGAGTTGGATAATTTTTTTATCCAATAAGAAGACATGCGCATAAACTACGATGTAAACACATTTACAGAATAAATCCCTCGATGCTCAACAAAAAAAACAAAAACTCAGAGGATGTGATTGGATAACTGGATCACCAGCAGATCGGTTTAATTGCACAGCATCTCTTATGTTGTTCTCATATTCTGAAATGCCTGAGCCAAAGTCTGTCATCAGAATCATTTGGTATAATAACCTCCCAGAGCCGCCTCACATGATTGCATTTACAAACACCAGGCATCCAAACGCAAGATAACATGACAGCATTTATTGCGTTTCATTTTCCCGCTCTGAGACAGTCATTTATGATGGAGGAAGAAGAGCCGCAGTGGCTTCCCTGATTCCTTGTTCTCTTTAATACATGGGAAGGAAACTGCTTTATTCCCAGATGTTTTATGCGATATTCCAATTTAACGTACAAGATAAATCCGCAACTTTGGGTGGAAACATAGCTATTATAATATGATTGACAGAACAACAAAATGATCTGTTAGCATTCTCTCTTCTTTTTACAGAGCGCCTTGACTTCAGTCAAAGTTGGTGTGATATCGGTTTACCAGGCCGGGCAAGGTGAGTCTGATGTGTGCGATTGAGCGAAAGGTGGGAAATTACTGTGAACCTGACCTTTAACCCCTGACCTTCTCATTTCAGACACGTATCACTTCCTTCGAGATCCACCCCCTGGCTTCCTGCCAAGAGTGGGTGTCATCGGTGTGTCTGGATTGGGTGGCCTGGTTCTGGCACGCAAGGGTAAGCTTAGTGTGCGGTCACTGCATGTTGTTTTACTGTTTAAATCGATTAAAGGGATACTAGGGATGCACGATGATATCGGGACAACATCGGGATATGAATATTTCTGCCGATGAGCCTTGCCGATAGGGTGGCGTGTTTCCTATGCGCACGTGACGTGAACGAAGCATGAGCGCCAGCAACTTAAACTTCCAACTAGGGGTGTGCGTCTCACGGTTGTTGATCGTGGACGATTAAAATGTCTCCACGATCTGCTTTTGAAGAAAAATCATAGTATCGTGCATTCTATCAGTTCAATTCTGGCGCCTTCATCTCAACATACTGTACAACGCGACGTACATTCACATCACATCACATGTAAACGCAGAGGTAGAGTTACACTCATGGGACACTGCAATTCACAAAAGGTCATTATTTGCATGTGCGTCAAAGTCTTGCTAGGTAAACATGTCATTCACGTGCTGATGCGCTGTTCTAACATCCGCTTTTCTGAGCGCGGTACACCCTCGCTCACAGGAACTAAAGCAGTCACAGCGCCTGCATACTGGACTAATCTTTCGAGTCTTATTGCGCTGATACTGTCAAATACACACAAGGTTTACATAAACAAAGTTGGTTATGTCTAAAGTGAAAGCAAACAGAGAAAATCTGCTTGTCAAATGCGTGTATATTAGACGCGTGGCGTTACTCGCGTGCAGTTTTTAAAGAGACAGTAATAATATTCTGCCGCTTGTCTTTAAAGAGATACTGCACCCAGAAATAAAAATTCTGTCTATCTAATGTTGTTTCAAACCTGGATTCATTTCTTTCTTGTGCTTAAATATACTATGGAAGTCACTGGAGTACAGCAACTGTTCGGTTAGCCACATTCTTCCAAATAACTTTTATTTTCAACAGAAGAAAGAAACTTGAGAGAGTAAATGATGACAATTTAAATTTTTGGGAGAACTATCCCGTTAATGTTAAAACAACAAAACACAGAGGAAATCACTCGCTGCTCTTGACTGAGAACATTAATAGAAACTTTAATAAGCTTTTTTTGCACTTAAAAAAAAAATACAAATATATCGGTATCGGGCAAAATTAGTTTGAAAATATCGGCATATCGAATATCGGCCAAAATCCTATATCGTGCATCCCTAAGGGATACTTCACCTCTGGAAAGATGAATGTGTATTTAAAATGGGTCATTTATTTAGAAGAAATGTGAAATTATTTTTGAATTTGGAGCTTTCTAGACTGAGAAAAGCCAGAAAATGTATTTTTGGCTTCTGTGGATGAAAGACAACAACTCCCAGAATTCACTTGCTTCGCTGCCCTAGGAGGCCACGCCTACCGGTAACAGCGCAGTAGTTAAACAACAAGTCTAGGCTACTAGTGAGTCTCCGTGACGAGTCTGCCCGGGATTTCGAGATCGCCCAAAATGTCTGGGATTCGGCTTTTGCGTTCTACAGTCGCCATTCATTATGTTTACTGTGGCGAGTAGGACGAGGCCGAGGGCGTGATTACCGATGAGCGACACCTGTGAGACGCACCGGTCTCGTATCTCTCACGGAGGAGCGCGAATTTTCTTAGCAATGTTAAAACGCACATCACCGATCACTTTGTTTAGCGTTCATGTAAACATTCAGATTTACCAATCGGAATGAATTCAGTTTGATTGAAACAAAAGGTGTGCATGTAAACAATGAATGGCGACTGCAGAAAGCAAAAGCTGAATCCCGGACATTTTGTACGATCTCGACGGCCGGACATGTCCGGGAAAAAGAGGATGAATGGTAACCCCTACTACTCAGCTTTCTCCTACTAAGTTACTCAGCTTTCTCCACAGAACAAGAGCCTGCTAGCTTAGCTTCCAAAAAAGATGGCTGACACTATGTGTACATTCTGTGAGTGAGATCCCACCCTCTATGGGCGGGTTGAGAACATGCGGAACAGCTCCTTCTACTTGCTGTAGTCTTTAGCCTCTGGCCAAAAAATCCTCCGATGACGCAAAATGACGATTTTTGCGTCATCGGAGGATTTTTTCCAGACGAAAAATACATAAATCTCTCGTCTCAGGGGGGATATGAGGGTGGAAAGCGCTGTAATTTGAAAATACTACAGGTTTTCTACTAATACAAAGCTTAATGCTAAATCCTGAAGTATCCCTTTAAGAAGCAGCATCTGTGTGTGTGTGTTTTTGCCCAGGCTCTCGTTTAAAGAGGATTGTCGTACCTCTTGGACTGGCTACTGCTGGTACTGCTGTCTGTTACCCCACACAGACTGTAGCAGTCCTGAAGGTACATTCTTTCTCTCTCTCTCTCAAAAATATTTTGACTTAATGTAAATTTTTCCAAAAACCTAGGAAATCTTTTCTTCTCCAATATATTTCTACTTCATTGTTGCTCTTTTTTATTTATTTATAGATCACAGGTAAAAAGGTGTATACTGTGAGTTCATCTGTTGCTTCAATGTTGAAATCCAAACCAAAGGAAGATGTCATCATGTCTGCTGTTAGCGTGGAGGTAATCTACATATTTCATATTAAAACCAAGTTATGGTAGTTTTTATAGTACATATCGCAAATTTGGAGAAGTGTCTGCTAAATTAATAAATGCAAATATAAGGGCCTTAAAGTTGGCTTTTTCTAAATGTTGTTGATTTTTTTAATCTGTGCACTTTTTTTGACATTGTAATTTTTGATTGAAGTATGATAACTCGAACTTCTCCAATCATCTTTCTGCTTAAACCCTCTTTCTTATAATCGACTAGAAGCTTGCGTTAAGATCTTTACAATCAACCGATGAATAGAACCAATTCCCCACCCTACTTTTTCTTTTTTTGATAATCTGTTTCACAGATTTCAGATGTACGTCACAATATGGAAAAGATATGTCGCTAATTTAAAAAACTTGACACAAAATTAAGTTTTATACTAATTAAGCGTAACCAATTAGCCTGTCAAGATCATTTTGCATTTATTTTGCTCCAATGTTAAAAGTAATTTAAAATATTACTATATAATTTGTTTTTTTACAGTCTGCTGTTGCTGTAACGAGCCCAGATACAGAATCACCCGTTAAAGCACTTTCTGAACTCTCACCCGAGTCTGAGCCATCCCCTGCTGTTTCAGTGGAGGAAGTTACACCAATATCCAAAGCTGAATCAGTGGAATTATCTCCAGTAGCTGATATTGTATCAGAAGATGTTGTAGAACCTCCCTCTGTTGTTGATTTAACAACTGGAATTGCTTCACCACTCTCTGAACCTGAATCTCCCCCTGCACTTGAGACTGCCCCAGTTACTGACACTACCCCTGAACCTGTTGATGGTACTGTCCGAGATGCAGAATCCACCCTAGAGCCTGTTGCTGAAACTGTCAAAGAAAGCACCCCTGAGCCCCCTGTCCCAGAGCCTGTGGTTAAAACTGCCCCAGAAGCAGCACCTGCTGACTGTGTTGAAGACACTGCACCTTCCGCTGAAGCGAATATTACTCCTCTTGAGGAGTCTGATCCTGAAATTGTCCCAGAAGCTGCCCCTGCTAGTCCAGAATTTGAAGTCCCTGCACCTACGGTTGGTATAGAAGAGTCTACGCCCTCAACTACATCTACAGTAGAGGAAACCACACCCCCTGCCCCCATCCTTCCTGAAGATACCACCCCTACCACAGTAGATGAGGAACTGGCTTCTGTTGAAGAAGCCATTCCCCTGAATCCTCCCCCAGCAGAAGAGGCTCCACCTTCATCTCAACCTCCTGTCCTTGAGCCAGCCACAAGTGAGAGAACTTTTTTAATATATATATATATTCCTCCAACTAGTCTAATGCAGCCTTCCTAGGAAATTCCTGTAGAATAAAATGGATGAATTGATCAATTAATTTTTTTTGTACCTGACAAAGACAGGAAGGGTTAATTAAGAGCAAAATATGCACCTTAATTTGTATGTAATTTATCCTTTTTATATTATATATGTTTTTCTATTTTATCAATCTCCTGCTTTCCAAATAATGGGAAATGTTGTTTGGTCATGTATTTATTTGAAATAGAAATGTTTTGTAACAATGTAAAAGTCTTTACCGTCACATTTGATCAATTTTAATGCATCCTTGCTGAATAAAAGTATTAATTAAAAGTTAAATTCTTTCTGACTCCAAACTAGTTTTTACTGGTCATTAAATACCAGTTTGCTTCCACCATGTTTGTTTAATTATGACATTTTGGTGCTGTTCGTGTGCATCTTCATGTTTATCTTGCAAATGCAATCATTCTTACATGACTTGGCAGCATAAGCACGTTCTCTTCTCCACATACTAATATCCCCCTTTTCTTTTTATCCTAGTAAAGTCACGCTTTGTTCCTGACCCTTCTCTACTGGACCACGGCCAGTCTAATCCAGAGGACGCAGACATGTACAGCACACGGAGCTGAATGAGTGATAGAGTAACTGCAGATGAGGGAAATGATGAGATGTTTTAATGTGCCATGTTTCCAGCAGTTTAAACGTTTTGTAATTGGGTTTAATTACAAAACTATTATTTTACCAATAATGTGATGTGGCATAATGGCATGTTTCTTTCTTTCTGTGATGCTTCACTCTTATGAGAAGTTTCTTACCTCAGCAGGGATATCAAACACAAACACACACGTTTCTTTGTTAGTACACGTTGTCCACATTGTTTAGTAGCTCTTTCTCAGTGTGACACTAAGCAGGAAAATCCAGGCCCAGGGTTACAGTATTTTAATAAAAAGCCTGTGGTCCCTTAGTCTCATCTCCAGGTTTATTTCCAGTAGCAACAGGAAGTTTGTGTTAATTTTATATAGTTAAAATTTGCATTTAAAACTGGACCACACCAAAAACTTTTCTTTTTTTATATATGAACAAAAAAAACATTTGACTTATACATGAGTATTGTCTAAAAATATGCATTTTACAGGGGTTAGGAGAAGATATCAAGCTTATATCTACAAAATATTGTAATCAGACTTGAAAAATGTGATGAATAATCTATGCAAATATTCGTTCACGCCACATTTTAAATTTCAAAAGGGCTTTTCACACTTTGCGTAACGTTGTTCTAAACCCCGCTTTAACACCGGGTAAAGGAACGGTTCACACTTGTAATACCGAAGCGAGGTTAGCACCGCTTTTTACCCGGGTTATGACTAATTTTGCGTTGTTAACCTCGCATTGCGGTGCCAAACTACAGCGTAAAACTTTTCTACAGAATGTTACGGCTAGATGCTTAACAATAGATAGCCAATCGCTTGCCTCATTCACGTGCTTTGGACAATCACACTAACACCGCCTGTTGTACTAAACGTTTCTGCGATTGAGGGGAAAAGTGACTGAGTGAAAACACGCGAATTGGAGTAAAGGGAGACTGATTTATTCTTACCTTTTATAATCCAAAGAGCACCTTCAGGGACAATAACCCGGTAATATATTGAATGAAGATGCGCAATGCCAGAGCCTTTATGTAAACAGGTCCCCTTCTGCGTTCGTCCAATCAATGACACGTCACGGATTCAGCAAATAAGAACGTTAACCACGGGTTTAGGAATGTAGTGTGAAACGTCAGGATTAATTGTTAACCCCGGGTAAAGAACAGTGTGAAACGTAGAAAGACCCAGTCAACTATTTGAAGTGTGAAAAGCCCTAGTATTTCTCAGAGGGCACTGACGGTGCAGAGTGAATGTTTTACATTAAAATATTTAATTTATACTGTCTTTACATGAATCTGTTGTCTGTGCAAAAGAAAAAAACAGGACATGAAAATAAATAGATTTAAAGAACGTTTTGAGTTTATTTTTCTATAACGTTTCCTGAAATTTCAAACAAAAGATTATAATCATATTTTATCTATACAACTAAGGAACAAAAACAACAAAAAAGCCATTTTACACTTTCAGCTCCCTAAAATGACAACTCAAATAAGAACACACTGATATCAGTCCTAGCACATGACTTGTACAGGACTTTTCTTCTTTCTTTCTTTTGCATGATTGATTTTTTTTTGTTAGACGTGTCCTCTCATTGAGTGCTGTTGGGCTGGCAGATGTCCGCTGTCCTGTAGAGTTTAGAGCAGATCATTTCCACCCTGCCTTCTCCAAGCAGACACAGATCAACAATACACACCACACGCTCTGACTCCAGTGTAGGGGCAGAACTCATCAACGACTCTGCAGAAAACACACACACACACACACTTTAGTTCTACCTGTGACTCACAGGTTATTCAGCAGAGATGGAGGATGTGAACAGAACAGAGTGGTAAAACACACACACACACACACACACCTGGTGCGGGAAAGCTGCCGTCTGGCCGAACACACAGACGTCCTGATGAAATGCAGGACAGCAGTGAGTTGTCATGCTGAGTGTGTGGCACTCCAGCAGCTCTGGGGTCATCAGATGAGGCGACGGGCACAAACAGAACATCTACTGCAGCCGTTTGATTCAGCCCTGAGAGAAAAAGAGAGGTCCAGTTATTACCTGAAGCTCCATTCCACAACATAGTGAGCTGCAAGTGCTGCTCTTACCCAGAACTGTGAGCATGAAGTAACCGGGGCAGGCCACAGGTGTGTGCGTGTGTGTCTGTGAGGTCAGATCGGGGTTCCATCTCGCTGGGCTCAGGTTGAGGTCATGTAGTAGAACTTCTCTGTCGTCAAAGTGGAATTTTTCAGGAATACTTTCCTGATCGAGTCTGCCACAGCAAATGTGATCTGCCACTTGCTGTTTCACTAACGGCCAGACTCTGCTCTCCCATAATGCAATGGGGTGGCTAGCAGCTTGCTGTACATCTGGGACTTGCGATGTCTGGTCAGTCTCTTTAGAAATAACAACACAATATTTGATATTCTGCTCACCAAGGCTACATTTATTTAATCAAAATGCAGGTCAAACAGAAATAATGTGAAATATTATTAAAATTTTAAATAACTTTTGTTTTCTGCTAAACTGTAATATATTCATGTGATGGCAAATCAAAGCCATTACGTCTTCAGTGTCACATGATCCTTCAGAAATCATTCTAATATGCTTTTTTGGTGCTCAAGATACATTTCTTCTTATTATTTTATCATTACAAATTACTCCAGACATTTAACACATTCAATTATGTATTATATTATAAATGTGTCAGTGATGTTCAGAAAGTGCAACACCTTTTCCTACAGCTGACTGTCTAAATGATATGTGTTCGTCTATACCCTCAGATTCGTCTGACTCCAACTCCCCTTCATCCTGTTGTTGTTCTTCTTCCTCTTCATGAGAGGTAAAGGCCACCTGCATACCTGCATTGTACCTCAATGGAGAAAAAAACATTATGCATATTGTGCACTTACAATGGGAGTCAATAGGGCAAGACACTCAAATGGAATTAATGCTAAATATACAGTTTTCAACTGTGGCCGTAATAAAAAAAAAACAGGTACATTTCCAGATTAAAATATATGATACTTAACTAGACGATAAAAACAAAAACTGCATATAGATATTTTGTTATCAGTATGCTTAGCTGAAGAGTGATTTGTTTTATTTATGGGCTTTAACACAATATTTTAATTTAGAAGAATTCTTTACTTAAAAAATAAACATGTAGATGTAAAATTGAATAACAAATTCTTACGAAATTCTTCCTAATTAATTCATTCAAGTGAGACTAAGTGTAATGTGCTTAGATTACCTGTTGGACTGCATTTTGGATCTGGTGAAATACTGACAATGCACTCTAAACAAAGAGGGGGAAAAATTATTGGTGACATACTAATGAAATTAAAAACTTTTTATATGAAGTAATTTCACTAATTAAGCAATATTTGTTCAGCCTTGTTGCCACACCTGCCACTGGCTAGTAAACCAGCCATAAATGTCTTACCTGCCAAGAAACAGTTTTTTGCATTAATATTTATTGACATATATTTTTGTCCCTTTGACAATGGATTTGTCTGTAGACTCTTCCTTAAACATTTACACTGCTGTTCAAAAGTTTGGGGTGATTTATAATGTTACAAAAGATGTCTATTTCAAAGAGATGCAGTTCTTTTTATCAAATAATCCTGACAAAAATGCATCATGGTTTCCACAAAAATATTAAGCAGCAGCACAACTGTTTTCAACATTGATAATAATAAGAAATGCAAAGCAGCAAATCAGCATATTAGAATGATTTCTGAAGGATCATTTGACACTGAAGATTGGAGTAATGATGCTGAAAAATCAGCTTTGCCATCACAGGAATATATTACATTCTGTAATATTTTAAAATATAAAACAGTTATTTTCATTTGTAATCAAATTTCACAATATTACTGTTTTTACTGTATTTGTGATCTAATAAATGCAGTCTTGGTGAGCATAAAATACTTCTTTAAAAACAAAAAAACCTCACTGACCACAAACCTTTGAACAGTAGTGTATAATGAACAAAATCATGGATCTGATTCACTTTGGCTACTTGTACTGGTTAAGAATGCTTTACCTAGAGCCTGTCTGCACTCTCCTACGTTTGGGTGAGACTGTAATATCCGAATCAGGTGAGGTTGAATCTGTTTCTCTCTGTGACAGAGTCATCTCATCCTTTGTGGAGGAATGAATGGCAGCTACAGTGTTGCTGACCCCTCGTACTGAGACACCCTCCTGCTTTAAAGACATCACCAATGATGTTATTATTTTTGTCAGCACATTTAGATTCTTTCTAAAAAATGTAAAGGGAAATAACAGACTGTCCTCATGGTGGCTGCAGCTGACTGGCTGTTTTCATCTTGATTCAGAAGTACAGACCTGCCGATGGCTGTGTGGTGGCCAGATGTGGAACTGCACAGCAGCCACGTGACCCTGTACAGCCACTCTCCTGTGCTCCCTGTACTGCAGACTCTCCAGCTCCCCCTTCAGCTCAGCCACTGCTGTTATAGAAAACTCATCTACAACACAGGATTAAACATGTGTTTAGTTAAATCATTAAATGCCTCAAGTGGTGAAAATCAAGTTTGTAATGTTGTTTATATGTCTATGTGGTGTTTATAATATGCTTTTAGACAAACCATGTGCAAATTCATTCATCAACACCATTGCTGAGTATTTTCTCCTTAAAGGGATTGTTTACCCCAAAATGAAATTTCTGACATTTCTGTCATCATTCTGTCATCAAGTTCCAAACTTGTATGAATTTCTTTCTTCTGCTGAACACAACAGAAGATATTTTGAAGAATGGCGGTAACCGAGCAGTTGATGGGACCCCACTGATTTCCAAAGTCAATGTTGCCCATCAACTGTGTAGTTACCAGTATTCTTCAAAATATTATCCTTTGTGTTCAGCAGAAGAAAGAAATTTATACAGGTTTGGAACAACTTGAGGATGAGTAAATGATGACAGAATTTTAATTTATCCCTTTAAAACTGCGGGGTGTACTAGACGGTCTCAAAAAAGTGGTCTGAAACCGTCCTAGTCTCCTACCGTCAAACATGTAACCATCCCGTCAACATGCGGGGCGGGGCTTTTCTCCACTGGCTTTCTTTGATGTTCAAAGCGTTTCTAAGGATGCTGATTTTTAGAAGACAGCTGTCTGACTCTGAGATGGCGAACGAGAACAGGGCTAATTTGCATATTCATGTGCGCGTATACTAAAAGAACCAAAGGGGGTAGAGTAACATTCAAGCTATTTTAAGGCATGAAGAAGTTATTTTCACAGGAAAAAACTGATATGTCAAAAATATGTCATTTTGATGAGTTTTAAAGGGGTGGTATAATGCCCCTTTTTACAATATGTAAAATAAGTCTCTGTTGTCCCCAGAGTGTGATGTGAAGTTGTAGCTCAAAATACCCCACAGATAATTTTTTACAGCATGTTAAAATTGTCCCTTTTTGAGGGTCAGTAAAAACGCGCGTGTCCCTTTAAATGCAAACCAAAGGGCAGAGCTTCAAGGCCTAGTGTGTGTTAACAGCTCCGATTACCTCACGCAGACAAGCACTAAAATGTCAGACACTGTTCTGTATTTTATGTTTGGAGTTGGACAATGATTGAGAGACTCAAGAAGAAGTGACAACACGTAGAATGGAACAGGACGTTTCTGAATGGTTAGTTGATGAATTTATGTTGCTGATGTGGAGTGAACTATCTTCAATTAGCATATTCTGTCATGATAATCTATAAAATTGCTTCTGTGGGAACTGTTGTAAATGCCTACAGAGTGACATGCTATTGCATTTGTGTTACGTACTGTATTGTATGTGAAAAGACGGATGCGACAGCTTGAGCAGACTCACAAATGTGCTCGACTACAACAACTCTTCCTCTTCTTAACATGGACTGCATGTTCCCGGGGGCGGAGTTTATGTAAATTTTAGGGTTAGTGATGTCACTAACCCGGGAGGAATGTAGTGTAGTCCCTACCAGCCGTTTGTTGTAGTCCTTAAAAAACGATTTCTTTAAAAGCAAATATCTTCCTTTGCTTTGAACTTTGAGCGTTGTAACTTTACAGATGTTATTTATGCTCAAACAGCAACATTACACACTAACTAAAGTTAGAAAAGTGAAATCATAATCAACCACCCCTTTAAGGGATACAATTATTGACTGCAGGCAGGGGGACTTTAAAGGTGGCGTAGGTGATTCTCTGCAGAAACATTTTTTGTTATGCTGGTTGAAAGTCTCCTCATATCCTGATAGGAATCACTCTGTTAAGCGGTCTAAATGTATTTTTATAAATATGTCGTCTGTGGAAGGTATAGGACCATAGAATGTTTGTTCAATCGTTGCGTTCGGGCCTGTCGGTCAATGTGTGTTTGCATTCCACTGCGCAGACTGTTCACGCAGACGACACAAGTCATCAGTGCGTTCACGTACGCTGTGCAGACAGAGCGAGAATGGCAGGCAAGCAGCAACAACCACCAGACTCTCATCGTGGAACCCCTGGCATGCAAGAAATATGACACACTGACAGGTTTTGCTAGCTAAACAAACCGAAAACTTGCTGCATCTAATTCCGTTTTTAAGAATTTGTTTTCGTTTGGTATTGTAGTACTGTTATTAACTGTACTATAAAGTTTTCTCACCGGTGAATAACACATGATGTATTGCAGTAACGTTGTCTCCGGTCTTCTTGGCTGTGCGTGTTCATGCTTTCAGGAGGTGTGGCTTTGGACTGCGATTTGCAGGGAGGGTGGGACGTACGCTTTTAGTGCTATCAGGCTAAAATTAGCATTTTCCCAGATGTCTTACAGCACCTTTAACATTAAAATCTTCTGAACATTGGAAATAAAATAACATGACTGCATGCAATGATCTTATTCGCAACAGTAAAACGGCTTCTCGAGCAGAAAAAATGTAGGGCGGGAATTGATTTTGTCCATTGAGAATTGATTGGATTGTTGTGGTTTGCTATTGCTGTGATCTCATGTGAGTGACAGGTTGTCCCGCCCCCGCCCTCATTATCAGAGAAGTCTTGATTAAAGATTATGAGAAAAAAAATAATAATAATGTAAATAAAAATAATAATGTAAACAGATAAATCATGTATAATAAATATTCCATAAAATAATTGATTTCATGGGGACTTGAAATTCTTACTGGTCATGTTGCTATTGGTGGTGGTTGGTGTGAAGGTGGGTGGGGCAGGAGGGTAGCGGTAATGTCCTCCAACTGCAGTCCTCCGCAGCATGACACTGTCCTTCAGTGTCTTGGTCCACTGGATGAACGCTTTAACTTTTGGCTCATTGACGTAGGGCTGCTTTTTATGGCAGCCTGTTAATGCAAAAAAAATACATATAAACAGTTGAGCTGATTGTGGTTATTTATCTGTGACCTCATTGTAGCTGAAATTTACCCGTGATGAAGAGCTGTGTTTCTGTGCTACTGGTCAGATACACAGAACAGCCTGTCTGACACACCCTCATCTGAGTGCACACCAGATACGTCACTGAGAGAGAGACAATCAAATCATTCAGCATTGGAGAAATACAATGCTTGTGGACATAAAGCCATGGGTGGGTTTTTTACTAGGACAGATGTTGTTGAAAATCTCTGGCTGGGATGAGGAGAAGATCTCAAGGATAAAGGGAGAGTCAGTTGTCCCATCCACTGCATGTACCCAGCGATACGCCCAAAACTTTTCAGGTCCTGACACACACACACACACATGCAGATGTAACGATGGATGGATTAAACAGTCAACCCTAAGTATGAATATTAATAATGAAGCTAGCATTAGCAAGCATAAAGGAGCTGGGAGAGGAGTACCTGTATAAATTATCTTAACTGACAACCAGCTGTTCAATAATAGCCTATACCTGTCTTTTCCTTGCTCCTGATTCGCTCAACCCGGCCCACATAAGTCACTAGACCAATGACATCACAGGCTTGGTTACTGTTCATTGAGTCCACCTCTGACCTGATCACAGAGAGAGGTTTTGTTTAGTTAGGAGACTTTATTATCCACAATGTGGAAAAATATTGTTTGGCTTCATGACAAAAGAATGTGTATTGTAAATAAGAAAAAAACAGTAACATTAAAGGTATTAAAAATGAAAACCATAATGCAATAAAATAACCCTAAAAATAACATTAACTATGCTATTACTTAAATTAACTTTTTTTGTTGTTGAAAGAACCCTCAAGGCTGCATTTATTTGATTAAAAACACAGTAAAACAGTAGTATTATTGGGAAATAATATGATTATTTTTAGTAATATATATATATATATGGCATATCTAAAAATGTAATTTATTCCTGTGATGGCAAACATGAATTTTCGCCAGCCATTAACCAAGTTTTTGGCACATGAGCCTTCATAAATCATTCTTATATGCTGATTTGATAGCATTTGTTTTTATTATCATTGTTAAAAACAGTTGTGCTGATTAATATTTTTGTGGAAACCATGAAACATTTTTTGATGAATAGAAAGTTCAAAAGATTGGCAGTTGTTTAAAGTAGAAATCTTTTGTAACATTATAAACATCTTTACTGTAGCTTTTGATCAATGTAATTCATTCTTCCTGAATAAAGTATTAATCCGAATAAGTATTAATTTTTTTAAAAAAAACAACAACAACTTACTGACCCCAAACTTTTGAATGGCAGTGTACATCTAATGTAAAAAAAAAAAAAAGGTCCTGTTTCAAACCAATACACTGAAACCAAAAGTTTAAAGGAACAAATTAACCAGTGTTCATTTTGACCACAAATTTTGATTTTGTTTTAGTCATAGTCTTTTGACTAAAATGTCATTTAGTTTTAATCATATTTTGGTCATCTGAATTGTTTTAGTCGCCTAAAACCTAATGGGTTTAGTTAAATTGTAATGCATCAATTAAGCATTTCTCTAAAATGTCCAAACTCATTAGCTACTGTATATACTCCTGGAGAAAACATCTAGGCCTATTAACATGAATGATATTAAAGGTGCAATAGGTGATCAGGGAAATGCTAACTTTAGCCTGCTAGCATTGAAAGAAGCGCTTGCATACATAAGTATGTGATTGTAAAATGATATATATATATATATATATTATACATATACATGGTATGAAACCAACTTTTTCACTCACCGGCCAATTTGGCTACTAAATTTTTACCGGGCATTCAGAACTTCTACTAGCCAAAAAAAAAAAAAAAAAACAGAGAGAAAGAAATAGGCTAAACAGATGAACTACATCACAGCTTATATATATATATATATGTAGGGAAATATATAAGCTGTCACGTAGTTCATCTGGGTTATTTCCTTTTTTACTTAATTTTTTCTTTTATATATATATATACACTCACCGGCCACTTTATTAGGTACCCCATGCTAGTAACGGGTTGGACCCCCTTTTGCCTTCAGAACTGCCTCAATTCTTCGTGGCATAGATTCAACAAGGTGCTGGAAGCATTCCTCAGGGAGTTTGGTCCATATTGACATGATGGCATCACACAGTTGCCGCAGATTTGTCGGCTGCACATCCATGATGCGAATCTCCCGTTCCACCACATCCCAAAGATGCTCTATTGGGTTGAGATCTGGTGACTGTGGAGGCCATTTTAGTACAGTGAACTCATTGTCATGTTCAAGAAACCAATTTGAAATGATTAGAGCTTTGTGACATGGTGGAAGTAGCCATCAGAGGATGGGTACATGGTGGCCATAAAGGGATGGACATGGTCAGAAACAATGCTCAGGTAGGCCGTGGCATTTAAACGATGCCCAATTGGCACTAAGGGGCCTAAAGTGTGCCAGGAAAACATCCCCCACACCATTACACCACCACCACCAGCCTGCACAGTGGTAACAAGGCATGATGGTTCCATGTTCTCATTCTGTTTACGCCAAATTCTGACTCTAACATCTGAATGTCTCAACAGAAATCGAGACTCATCAGACCAGGCAACATTTTTCCAGTCTTCAACTGTTCAATTTTGGTGAGCTCTTGCAAATTGTAGCCTCTTTTTCCTGTTTGTAGTGGAGATGAGTGGTACCCGGTGGAGTCTTCTGCTGTTGTAGCCCATCCGCCTCAAGGTTGTGCGTGTTGTGGCTTCACAAATGCTTTGCTGCATACCTCGGTTGTAACGAGTGGTTATTTCAGTCACTGTTGCCCTTCTATCAGCTCGAACCAGTCTGGCCATTCTCCTCTGACCTCTGGCATCAACAAGGCATTTCCGCCCACAGAACTGCCGCTCACTGGATGTTTTTTCTTTTTCGGACCATTCTCTGTAAACCCTAGAGATGGTTGTGCGTGAAAATCCCAGTAGATTAGCAGTTTCTGAAATACTCAGACCAGCCCTTCTGGCACCAACAATCATGCCACGTTCAAAGTCACTCAAATCAACTTTCTTCCCCATACTGATGCTCGGTTTGAACTGCAGGAGATTGTCTTGACCATGTCTACATGCCTAAATGCACTGAGTTGCCGCCATGTGATTGGCTGCTTAGAAATTAAGTGTTAACGAGCAGTTGGACAGGTGTACCTAATAAAGTGGCCGGTGAGTGTATATATATATATAAAATAAAATTTGGATTTCATACATTCATTTCTTATCAAACAAAATCTCCAAACAACAAAATCTCTTTCATCCTCATTCTTTTCACCAAACTGTATTTTAGGTGGACAGATCAATACAGTACAAAGAACATCAAAAATATTTATTTGTAGGATGTTGAAAAATAACTGTCTTTTCTGTTAATCAAATGCTTTTTAATCTTCGCTATTGCTTTTTAACGCAAATGAACAAGCGCACTGTTAGTAACACACCAAATTGGTTAGTGAATTTGACAGCGTTCTCCGCCACAGCTGATTTTTACCCACTGACGGGTGTTAATTTCAAACCCTCTATGTATATATATTATATACATATATACACAGGGTTTGAAATTAACACCCGCCAGCGGGTCTGAATATATATATATATATATATATACACTCACCGGCCACTTTATTAGGTACACCTGTCCAACTGCTCGTTAACACTTAATTTCTAAGCAGCCAATCACATGGCGGCAACTCAGTGCATTTAGGCATGTAGACATGGTCAAGACAATCTCCTGCAGTTCAAACCAAGCATCAGTATGGGGAAGAAAGTTGATTTGAGTGACTTTGAACGTGGCATGATTGTTGGTGCCAGAAGGGCTGGTCTGAGTATTTCAGAAACTGCTAATCTACTGGGATTTTCACGCACAACCATCTCTAGGGTTTACAGAGAATGGTCCGAAAAAGAAAAAACATCCAGTGAGCGGCAGTTCTGTGGGCGGAAATGCCTTGTTGATGCCAGAGGTCAGAGGAGAATGGCCAGACTGGTTCGAGCTGATAGAAGGCCAACAGTGACTGAAATAACCACTCGTTACAACCGAGGTATGCAGCAAAGCATTTGTGAAGCCACAACACGCACAACCTTGAGGCGGATGGGCTACAACAGCAGAAGACTCCACCGGGTACCACTCATCTCCACTACAAATAGGAAAAAGAGGCTACAATTTGCAAGAGCTCACCAAAATTGGACAGTTGAAGACTGGAAAAATGTTGCCTGGTCTGATGAGTCTCGATTTCTGTTGAGACATTCAGATGGTAGAGTCAGAATTTGGCGTAAACAGAATGAGAACATGGATCCATCATGCCTTGTTACCATTGTGCAGGCTGGTGGTGGTGGTGTAATGGTGTGGGGGATGTTTTCCTGGCACACTTTAGGCCCCTTAGTGCCAATTGGGCATCGTTTAAATGCCACGGCCTACCTGAGCATTGTTTCTGACCATGTCCATCCCTTTATGGCCACCATGTACCCATCCTCTGATGGCTACTTCCACCATGTCACAAAGCTCTAATCATTTCAAATTGGTTTCTTGAACATGACAATGAGTTCACTGTACAAAATGGCCTCCACAGTCACCAGATCTCAACCCAATAGAGCATCTTTGGGATGTGGTGGAACGGGAGATTCGCATCATGGATGTGCAGCCGACAAATCTGCGGCAACTGTGTGATGCCATCATGTCAATATGGACCAAACTCCCTGAGGAATGCTTCCAGCACCTTGTTGAATCTATGCCACGAAGAATTGAGGCAGTTCTGAAGGCAAAAGGGGGCCAACCCGTTACTAGCATGGGGTACCTAATAAAGTGGCCGGTGAGTGTATATATATACAGTATATATATATATACACATACACAGATTTAGACCACTTAACATAGTGATTGCTATCAGGATATGAGGAGACTTTCAGCCAGCATAACATAAAATGTTTCTGTAGAGAATCACCTACTGCCCCTTTAAGGTTTGAACATGCAATTTAACTGCTTTATTTATTTTAAAATTACATAAAACATGGTCTCTTCAAATTAATGATATATGCATTCTTTATAACAACTTGCATACAACATTCTTCATTCTTTCAAGCAGATATATTTGTAAAAATTATTATACTATTAAAATTATTTAGTCGAGTGCATTGAGTGATTTTCTCTTTTTCTTTTGTTATTTTATTACATTAATGATGACGGACAGCAGCAGGTTTAGGCCAAATCCACAGATACAATACACTGATAAACATCCAATATTCTACCAAATGTTTACGTGAATACTTGGCAAAATTGACATTTTGACATAATTGTGTTTATTTGTACGTTCAAGCACGAAAAGACGCAAAAGAGAGCTCAATTCAGCTGTCTGAGAAGAGGCTTTTTGTGTGAGCACAGAAAAACGGACTGAACTGAGCTCTCTTTCGCAATCGTCATGCTTTTTTTTTTTTAGATTCATCAATTTTCAGATTCATCCATATGTCTGCTCTTCTCTTTCTCCTAGACGTTGACGTTTTATGACACATGCAAGTGTAGATCAGCGCGTTACAATTCAAAAGTGCGCATCATCTACCACGCAGGACATCAGTTCTGACTGGATCTCTTCCCTGCCTAACATGTTCGTCTCGTTTTTATTAGTTGACAAAAATGTCAAAAGTTTTTGTCATTCAAAACTGGTTTTTATTTAGTTATAGTCTCGTTTTTGTCAGTGAAAAAATTGTGTTGACGAAAATGATGATGAAAATGATTCATCATTGAAATTAACAAATGAAAATGTTTGTAAGTGGCGAGTATGTGTACCTTGTGGCAAAGTTGTATGGGACATCAGGCAGACCCCACTGAGGCTGAACACTTTTTGGTGGAATTACCGTCACTACAGATGCAGGACTTCGAGGATTTAAGCAGATCTCTACAACACAAAAAACAACCACAACCAAAGAGCTGAAATAATGTAACTTTTCCATGAAATGGTCCAATATTGAACCTGTATAAAGGCCCTTGCGCACTGAGTCAGAAATTTTCGTATGCGTTTTTTCGTATTCGTGATTCTGTGGCTCTGAATTGTCAAAACACCATTCAAACTGCTTTACGGATGTGAAAAACGCAGAAAATCAAACCCAAATCGATTTTTTTATGACGGACGAAAGTTTCGGAGGCAGTGTGCAAGCGTGACTGACATAACGTGAGGTTGTATTTATTTTTTAACGTGCGAAAATTTCGGACGCGAATTTCACACTTGGTGTGCAAGGGCCTTAATACAAACCCAGCTGAAATACTTGCATAAGAAAGCTAGCTTTGGAAAAGCTCTGGAGTTCATACCAATAGAGTGGAAAGTCATAAGAGAGAGTGTGTGGATCTGTGGTCTAGAGCGCTTCTGATAACTGTGTTTCAACGAGTACTGCTGCAGATATAGAACTGAGCCGACTGTCAGTCGCTTGAACCACTCAGGACAAAGATCATTCCATACAACCATAGACATGACGCCACTCTGATCAGCCACCTCACAGTACACCTGAAAGAGTGGAAGAAAGAGGGAACCGAAGAAAGAGATTATGTTTGGCACCGCTGAAATAATCAATAGCTGCAGACAAAAAAACAATGTAACCTATGACCTCAACTCACCTGAAATGGGAAGTCAATGTTCTGTCCTGGTTTTCCATAGTACCGGATTCTGGATCTATGCAGAATTCGGACCAGTAGTGGGAGAGGACGTCTGGAGCTGTGAAAGAATGCATCCAGATCCGCAAGAAGAGTGATTCTAGAGACTGAAAAAAAGAAAGACAACAACATTGACCAGATATAATGAAAGGATTACTATTTCGCTATAAATTGTGTGTTGTACAATTTTTGACAAACAACTCCATTTGTCAAACTCAATTATCCAACCCTTTTAAGCTAGTATTATTTGAAAATAGTTTTTAGTCTCCATGAAATCAAGTGACAATTCTTATATTTTAAATGGAATATTGCAGAATTTATTATAAGTTATTTATATGTGCACATCATTTTCTTAAATTTGTGCGCCCTCATAATCTTTAATAAAAATAACTTGCAATGATATTTCTTCTGAATATTCATATTCTTTCTGATGATGCGTTTACTGGCGTGAGGGCGGGGCAACCTGTCACTCACAGATCACAACAATAGCAAACCACAACTACCTAACAATCCATCAATTCCCGATGGACAAAATCAAGTCCCGCCCTACAGTTTTCTTGTTCAAGAAGACGTTTCACTCAGTTATAGGTCACAATAAGAAAGAAAAGACTATTGCAACTTTCGTTTCATGTTAATTTTAATATTACTATATTAATATATATGTTTTAATATTTATATACAAATATATATATATTGTTTGTATGGCACTTATACGTTTATTAATAATTACAAGCAAACATTTTGCCCCTAAACTAACTAGGCTTTTTAGGCTAAACTTTGTAACTTACCAAACTTTAACTTAACCTAGCAACCTAACTTTTATTTGAACCTTTAATGTATGCATGTATACATGTATGAACATGTATCTCTGTGTGTGTAATGTATAAATATGTATGTGTTTATGTATGTATGTATGTATGTATGTATGTATGTATGTATGCATGTATATAATACACACACACACACATATATATATATATATACATATATATATATATATACACTTTTTTTTTATACCACTGCTGATCTCATACCATCAATAACCACGTCTGGAGGTGGGTTGTTAGGAATCCACACGCTCCCAAAAGGATCATCGTTTATCCACAGTGGTAAATAATATTTTCTGCTCAGCTGCAGGGGTCCATCGGATCGGGTCACATAGTCCTGGCACCACTGCGGAATTGTCTCAACGTCTTTAATAGACAGAAATCTCTCAGGAAGCTCCACGACGCCGTGAATCCCGTCTATCCTCAGGTAACTGTGACTCAGTCTCGTCTCATCGTGAACCAACGACAGCAGGGACACCAGGACCCCCGCCCCGCAGCGCAGCGAACCCGTCCGGACCCAGCGGGTCAGACTGTCCGCCAGCTGACACTTCATCCTCCATCGGCCGTCCGTGATCGTCAGGTCGTAGCTGTAGCTCTCACCGGAGGGATGTTGTAAGCTCAAGTACCGGTCCAGAGCGACGACAGCCAGGCACAGCGGCCTGGCGAGGGTCAGGGAGAGAGTGTGAGCGGACCGCAGCTGTTCAAACACAGCCTGAAGAGCAGAACCGGACGCGCTGTCACTGTGATCCGCTGGACCTGCCATCTCTGAAACCTGAGACGGTTTCAGAGATTTTCAGACGGTTTCTAGACCCAAACCTCTACACGATCTGGCCCGAACCAGATGGAAGCATTTAATGAAGTTTAATACGTGTAACAGTTATAAGTAAGTTAACTTATATGAAAGCGAATGACTTGCTAAGCTTGCGTATCTGAACTTTACACTGTATTATTCTTTTTCATTTTGAAACAATATAAAAGTTAATGCGATTTTGTAGCTCATGACACTCACTGTCATTTATTGAAATCTGAAGTCAGCTCAATCCTCACGGAATGTAAACAAACTCCAAGCGCGGGGGGATTTCGTGTTTCTTCTTCCCGAATCACGAGCAGTAGCAGAAGATTAAACACTGAAAGTAACCGCAGCGGCACCTACAGGCACGGAGGACACGACCGCGAGACCGTCTGCAACTTTGAACCCACTGCACAGACAAGGCGGCTAGTCCAGACCAAATTGCATGTTTGAGCTGTTTTAACTGAAAGTAACTTGCACTGACATATCTTAAAATATTTTTGGAGAATACCACCAACACTTGTGACGTCAAGTGGTCAGACCAAACAAAAGATGGAGCTGAAAAAGTAATGCTGGTTTATTTTGTCAACGCCGCACATGGGGCTTCATCAGGGCGAAAATGCCATCAGTGCCATTGTTTTGTCTGAAGATGCACACCTGTAATGTTTTTTTTTCCCTAAGGCACCTTTTTAAAAGCTATACTTAAATGTCCTAATTAAACTAAGGTCTTATCCTGGCTTTATAAACTCTGTCTGTGAAACCAGGCCTCAGTTTAGTTTTGTGCTGCTTGTGATTCGGGAAGAAGAAACATGACCCTAAGGATAATGCATTTTATGGTTACAAATTGCATTACAATCGATTTTTAAAATTGAATATTGTTGGACAAGCATATTTTTAGTAATACATTTTGCGACACAAATTAAGCAAGAGGTTTTGTTTATAATTATACGTTTGTTTTTTTAATAGTGTGGATTGAAAATAATGAAAGTCACTATAACATCCAAGCTGTTTCAGAATGTAAACTTTTTTATTATTAATTTCTTTTAAAACAATATTAACAATATGTTAAAGCTTGTTGTGATGGTATATGTACACAGAAGAGTAAAAGGGGGAAAAAACAAGCCATACATCATTGACTGTGCAACATCAACTCGCTGAACTGACAAACAGAAAGCTTTACGTCCCCCAAAGTAAGACACTTCAATAATCTGTTACAAAATACCTCTGTTTTACTTTCAAATCATACACTGTATATAAATTTATTTCAATCTATTTAACATCTTATAAAATAAACAACTATATTTTTTCTAAACCTTTTTGTGTCTTATATTACAATATCTTCCATGTATTTTCTGCAGAGTATCAGCAGAGATGGCTGTTTATACCAGGTTTCGTTTTCGTCTCATCCCCACACCTGGTAGAATATAAATGCATTGACGTTCTCGCACCCACAGCGAGAGTTGTCACCTGAAGTCAAATGTTCCGGTAACACACATAACGCATACACTCACAACGCACACATAACACACACTCGCACAAATCCATGAGGCCTAAAACCTCATCAGAGCAGACACTTTTGGGGAGAAATCCAGGCCAGAGACAAAGAGAGAGCAAAAAGCAAAAGACATAAAGAAGGGAAAAAGAATAAAGTGCAGTCGCCTCAACCAGAGCATAGATTCACAGGATGAAACGAGAAAGAAGAAGAGACTGAGAGAGCCAGTACAGGTATCGTCTACCATTCACAACCCAATCAATGAACACAAAGAGCAAAAACTAAACCTGCATGTGCAAACGACACCGCAAAAACATGAACGTCTGCAAAACAACCAAACCTTTAACCTCAACAAACATTTGAGACTAAATGTTTGAGCCTGGCTGACAAAATATTTCATGAAAACACCACAAATGGGCATTTAATGAAGGACGAAGCAGCTGGTTTTGTTCGGGGGATGATGCGCACATTCTAAAACGGCGTCACATGAAGACTGAATCAGATTGGCTTAAATCGCAACCTTTGGATTTATTCGTCCTGCTCATTTTGAAATCAGTCTTTGCAAGTCTACTCCACTGGAAAATCTATATTAAAACTGGTTTTGGAACAAAACCAGGAGCTGTTTTCTAGCTCCTCCAAAATCCACTTTGACTGGTTACTATCTGGTTTGTTGATGGTCCTGTATGGTTTTATCAGCTTGGACCAGCTAATCTTGTTTAGACCAGCTACAAGTGTTCCAAAATTCACCTTGAGATGGATTCTTAGGTTGGGTTACTAAAAATATAAAAGTTAAATCTGACTCAAAGTGTAGTTTCTCTCACGTCTACAGACATAAAGAGCATTTGTGAGACCCAAAGATAATCTCAGAGCAGCAGAAGATGATAAATGGGAGGCACTGATGCAGAACACCCTGACACGTCATACTTTGTGCTAGCCAGCATCTGAAACACAAACACGCCAAACACCTTCCTCGTCTTTTCTAGTGCCACTCCAGGAAGGCAGAACAAAGCACTGAGATGAACAAGTCACGCAATTCAGACTCTACACAAACCTTTGAAAAACATTTAGTAATGGTTCAGATGGCCGTAAATGATCTCTTGGAAAAGTCTAAATCTCTGAAGTGCTTCCTTTGAATGTAGTTTGATCTGATTTTGAGCTAAAGTTTAACAAGCTACACCTGCGTGAAGAGAGCGTGAGGGAGTTTCACATTTCTGTACATGACTGAAGGAATGTTGAAGATCTTTGCATACAAAAATACTTTTACTGTTTTCATTCAAACAGCACATTGGCTTTTACTAATATGAAGTGTTTCTAGCTAATACAAGAAAATATACCTGACTAAAAAACTAAATTATAAGTATAAATTACACACATTCTTGTTTTTCGATTCACATCTAACAACAGGCAGAAGGACACACGTTTCTTGAATGGAATTTTCTTAGTTTGAAAAAAATTCAATAATCAGCACCAGTCTTTAATTGTGCAGCGTGTGACAGGACAGAGGAAAGCACAGCTTGAAGTCTCCGCACAAAAGAAACGGATTGAGATTTTTCCGATTGTCAGATTTTGTGTGTCTGTGAGTGTTCACAACATTCATGTGTCTACACCAGAGATGCCCAAACCAAAGTTGGCCCTTGATGACCTTTGACTTGCCATGAGGGGGAAAATATAGCATAGGAAAAAAAACATGCCATTTATGTAGATGTGTGCCGGTATTCTAGATAGCATATTAGCACAATTCTTTTAATTTCTCTCAAAAACTTAGTCAAGATTCAGAATGCTTTAACGCAACCCTTATGAGCTGTTTGGCACATCCATTCTGTGCCCCATCTGACAGAGAACAAGAGTGTAAACTACACCTACAATGAGAAGCCTGTCTGAAGGAGGATCGCTTTCAACTATAGGGGTGAAAAAATGACGTGTTCAGTGTGTAGTGTTTCTTTACAAAGAGACATCGCCAACTACTGGCCTGGCATGCATTATATAGCGTTTTTAGTCGTTTTCGCGGATCATAATTGATATATTATTAAACATAATTTTTTTGTGGATTCATTCAATATGTTCAATTAGTTTCTTAAATGTTCCAGATTCTTTTCGTTTTTAGTTTGTTGTTAATTTTTTTTTAAATGTAAGCTGGTGTTTAAAAAGTAAGAAAAACATCATTACAAAAAATAATACTGCAGATTACAGTGTTATATTTTGATATTATGAAAATCACAAACGAGGGGAACCAAGGTTAGACACTTAGAAATTAAAGATATAGTGCAACTTTTACTTTCGGCCCTCAATCAAGTCGTTGTAAAGTGTTTGGGTACCTCTGGTCTACACCATCTCCCCGAAAATTATATAAAAAAAAATAATTTAAAAAGAGAAAGAAACTAAGTGCATTTTTTTTACTAATATTTGTGAAACACAGAGCCCAAGTGACACAGGCAGATGAGAACATTTCCATTTCTGCAGGCCTGACAATTATGATTGTCTTCAATCATTGTCTTATTTTATCTATATTTGTTCATCACAGTTAAACTGCTGCACTTCCGCCCACCACCGTAAAACGATCACAAAGTCCCTCTTCTACGAAGCATAAATTAGACAGAGCTTCATCCCTGTGTAATACTGAAACTAAATATTAGCTCATCTGTTTATATTGACATCAAATCATTAGAGTTATGCTGTGTGGACATGCAGACCACATTAACATCTGAGAAATCAAAGAACCGTGTGATCGGCAAACATGCTTCTCTTGAGGAGTTATGTCTAGATGCTAGCCTGAAATATGACCATCCAGAACACATTATGTGGATGAACTTTATGTACAGTAAAGTGGATCCAGGAGAAAAAAAAAGAGTAACAGGGATTGAGTTGACCTCAACAGTAGGAAAATGTTGCCCTAGTCTGAACTTTTAAATTGTTCTTAAATATTTGAAATATACAACGTGATTCAAGTTTCTTACGTTAGCATTAACGTTACAACAGGAGAGGACTGAACTTGCTCTGCACATGATAACAGGCAGTCAAATTTATGCATTTTTGAAATGTTTGGGTCTTCGCTGAACTGTGCTCAGCTCCTCTCATCAGCATACACATATGAAATATGATGTGTGAAAAGCAGTTCATGACCATGTATTTTTCTTCTTTTTGGTGGGGCCATTTCTCTTTTAGCTAGTATTTTAGTATGCGTTTGAGAACAGAACATGTGACAGCAAACTCAGCGGACTCTGGATTGAGTTTAAGCTCTGTCAAGGCATTACTTGATTTTGTCTTGTTTGCGTGTGTTTGTATGTTAAAAAGTCCAGATAAAGTCAACGGGCTGTAACATTACAGTGCCAAAACCCTTCCGGCTTTCTGTCCTTTTTCTATCAATCGGAGCATCTGCTCGACTGCTCTGTGACCCGTCTCCATGAATAACAGATGGGTCACGCCCCATGTGGGCTCCTCCTACATATCCCAGCATCCTCTGCGTGCAGTCCGGGCCAGGCAGAGCCCTTGGGCCTCGTGGCGTTATCACCATCATTTGCTGTCATGGGAACTTTAAGGGACTTTGGCTTTCTCGATTTGGTTTGGCTCGGGACCGAGCCTTCCTCTGAGCCGAGAGAGAGTCCCTTCCCATCATGCCTTTCAGAGCTAAATGCTCAACGCACTTTCCTGGCAACCTCTTGTCTTCTCCCAGGGGGCGGGGCTACCGTTGGAGCATGTTTCTGTAGTCCGACAGGTTGCTGGACTGGGAGTGATGATGCTGCTGTTGCTGTTGCTGCTGCTGTTGTTGTTGTTGCTGCTGCTGTGGCTGTACGTATCCCACAATGCTTTGCTGTGGAATGCCAGGGGTGTGGAATAAGGCCTGAGTGGGAGTGCTGTGAATCAGACCCTGAGGCTGCATCTTCAAGAGAGAAAGAATGTTACCAGAACGTTTATGAATCACAAAACATGATTCAAGATGATATGATACAGTTGATGACTGAGAAGAACTGTAAATCTGAATCACAATTAATCAAAATTGTGTTTGTCTACCTGAAAGAACTGCTGAGGTTGCTGTAGAGGTAAGCCGTGCGGGGCAGCCACCGGGTGAGGCGTGTAGGTAGGTGTGGCCTGATGGGTGATGAAACTATTATGGGGGATCATGATTGGTGAGGTGAAGACGGGGGACGGGACAAGCACAGCGTTACAATTCACCTGCTGCACAGGGAAGGAAGGAGCCATCATCTGCTGGTCCAGAGGATATCTGTAACACACAGACAATATTGGTGAATTCAGAATAGTATACTCCTCATACTATCTCTATTATGGCAGAAATAGTTAAACGTAGTACTGTATACTAGTATGTTCTTCCAAATTCAGCCCAACAACCGGTCTATGACTTTACTTTCATTTTGAATGGGGCCATCAATCCCACACACACTTACTTGGTTTGTTGAATAGTTGAGCTGCACTGGGAAGACTGAGCCCCCCCATTGCTGTCTGATACAAGCGTCTGCATTGGCTGGTTTAGCAGCATCCTACTAATCCGAAAACACCCTGTATTATATTACTGATCAGATCAGGGAACAGGTCTTGTTACAATCACACATTCTGTGATATAACCAAAATCAGCCAATCAAGGAAGCTCCCTCACTCTACCAATCAGAAATCACCTCTCATTCTGTTGTCCCCTGCACAGTCATCACTAAATTAGATTGTAACTACTGTATCATGGATCTACTAGAATCTATTATTTATTAAGAAACAGATAAATAATATTTATTGCTGAAATTATTAAATATCATTAAAGGGGTCATGACACGAGAAATCAAGTTTCTTGACGTGTGTCGCGTCAAAAGCACTGATGCCCTCTATGTTGGATACAGTATACAGATGCACGTTCAGTTTCTGATGTGCTCCATGTATTTGAGTCTATCGACAAGAGGACAAATTGAAACGTAAAGAAATATTGGCTTTGACGTGTCCTGTTTTTTAAACAGCTTCAGCAGGATACCAGCGTCAGGAACAAGTGGATGGTTTGTTTAAATGGCATACCGGATCACATCGGAGGATTGCATGTTTGTTCAGAGCATTTTGTTTTGTGAATGAGGCACAGTGTAATGGAGAGTTTGCAAATAAACTTTTGTTGAAAGATGAAGCAGCCAGTTGTATTGGATCTGACAGCAGCTGCATTGCAAACCGTACGTAAATGATTTCATAATGTGTAAATGACAGTTTTATATGGATAATGTTTTCAAAACACTTACTCAAGTGCAATACTGTGTGGGCGTTGATACTGTTGAGTTAGCCAATCATAACAGTGGCCGTTTACAGACAAGTTTTAAAGGAGCCGCCCATTACAATTACAGAATGAGGGTCAGAATGAAGGTGAAAAAATAATAATTCCCCACATATATATTTGTTGTTTTGTGCAAAAAACGTTATAAACTTTAGGTGAACCTCAAGGAACATATTAAAATAATTTTTAAAAAATCCATGTCATAACCCCTTTAAAACTGCCTTTTCAAGCAGAGATAATGGTTTAGCCTAAAGGTTTTTCCTCTGATTTCTAGAACATAATTTCCAGAATATAAATGTCTACCTAATTTGATTTGAGAGGTATTATAGCTGGAATATTATAAAAGACAAGAAGCAACTCCAATGTTTGAACAAAAATTTGGTCTGATTTTCATATATGATTTGTCTGTTCAGACCAACGCATAAGCAATGGCAGACGGGTTGAATGAAAGTGCAAGAGTTCCAGGTTCTTTTTCTGCTATTCACTGTCCCTTATATGTGAAAAATGTATGTGAGCAGAGCACCACCAAATTGTAGTTATGCAACAGCCAATCACAGTTTTATTTGTGGTGCAATAGAAAACAGATTAGAACAACTCTCTGTTAATATTTTTTTTTTTTAAATGTTGCATTGACAGATTGTTCATGTCTGTCTGAACAGACACAAACACGTTTATTCAAATTAAAATGTTTATCACACTAAATTTTCTAACTGAACAGTCGTCTTGATACGGACAAGCCTTTACGATGTACTTCAGACACAGTAAACTGTGTTTTCTGTGTGTTAAGGTGTGTTGTTACCGTAGCTGTCCATCCTGGCTGTAGTCGGTGTGTGTGTTTCTTTGGCAGTGCGTGTCTTGTTGGGTTCTGTGTCCGTGGTTGGGGGAGAACATCATTGGGTTGCTGTAAAAGGGTGTGGTGATACTGGTGTGTGTCTGCATTGGAACACTGACGGCCTGCATGTGTCCAGTCTGAACCAGTCTCTGCTGCCCCTAAACACACATAAACACAAGACAACCATCAGTGTGTGTCACAAGTCTGTGAGTGAGTAATGTGTGTGTGTTGTGTAAAGTGTACCTGAGCAGATGAGCTACTGGGCTGTTCTCTGAGCAGTGTGTGTGATGAATGTGAAGCACAGTGTTGAGGTTTGGGGTGTGTGTTTTGTTGGGCTGGCCTGCCTGGACCCTGCGACTGTGAACCAGAACCGGCAAACTCTCCCTGTATCGGCTGCTGGAGAAACATCTGCAAGACAGCGATCCAAACACACTGTTCAGAATCAGACCACTTTAGTTCTAATAATAAATAAAGTAAGACTTCCAAAACAATAACTTCGTCTCTGAATACAGTAGCATTTTTTCTACAGAGAAGGAATATTGTATATCTACTGTACACTACTTTTCAAATGTTTGTGGTCAGCCAGTAAAAAAAGAAAGAAAAAGAAATGAATACATTCATTCAGCAAGGATGCATTAAACTGATCAAAAGTAACAGTGAAGACATTTATAATGTATAATTTCTAAATAAATTGTTCTTTTGAACTTTCTATTTATAAAAGAATCCTAAAAAAGTTTTCAATTAAGCAGCACAACTGTTTTCACCATTGATAATAATAAGAAATGTTTCTTGAGCACCAAATCAGCATATTAGAATGATTTCTGAAGGATCATGTGACACTGAAGACTGGAGGAATGATGCTGAAAATACAACTCTGCCACCTCAGAAATAAATTACATTTCACAATATATATTCAAATAGAGAGCAGTTATTATATAATAATAATAATAATAATATAATTATTTTAACAATATTTAAAATAACATTTCACAATAATACTTTTACTTTCAAGAACATAAAGTTCCGTTTGTTAACATTAGTTAACTACTTTAGTTAACAAGGGAACATTATTCTAAAGCATCTATTAATCTTAGTTAATGTTCATTTCAACATTTACTAATAAGTTATTCAAATCAAAAGTTTTACCTGTTAATATTATTAAATGGAACTGAGCTGACATGAACTAACAATGACCATCTGATATTAACTAATATTAACAAAGATTATTACTGTAACAAATGAATTGGTCATTGTTATTCAATGTTAGTTAACGCATTAACTAACGTTAACTAATAGAACAAAAAAAATCAGTAGTGTATTTCTTCCTCTTTTTACATCACATTTTCTATTTTTGATGTATTTAATCTGACCCAAATTTGCACAAATAAATATAATACTGCAAGTTTATGATTATGTGTGCGCACCTGTAGGTTGGCGAGCTGTAGTTTCTCTTTAATGTCGTGCAGCTCTTGTTGTTGTGTCTTGATGTCGGCCTGTAGGATGCGTGTCCGCTCCTCTAGCTGCTCTTTCAGCTGATGCATGACGCCTAACTGAGGCTGCTGGAATTCGTACAGAGATTGTGTCTGCAACCCACATGCACACGGAACATTGAGAACACACAAAAAGACTCGAGAGCAGCAACATATATCCCCTTTTCAAAACTGAGAACTTCTCTCAAAACCAGCTGTTGTTTCTCAACAGGATCTAGATTTGGCACCGTTACACAGTCGTTGGTAAAATGTTGACAATCTTTCTATTCTAAGATTAAAACAAACACTAAACTGTAGCTATACTTAAACATGGAGGGAAAGACAGAAGAGAGGAAGGAATAGAGGGGAAAGAGAGAGGATACTGACCATGGTGGATTGCTGACTGCAGGAGGGGGAGAGTGATGTGGCCTCCGAGGAGCTCTGCCTCTGAATCAGGGTCTAAAACAAACAGACACACAAAACATTCAGATACACACACAGACTGGTGATAACAACACATACAATACTGTATAAAAAGTAGGGGTCAGTAAGATTTTTGATCAAAATGTTTACGAAAGATTTAGATTTCAAATGAACAGTTTGTTTCCTTTCTATTCATCAAGGAATTCTGAATAAAATATCACAAGAAATACTTTTACATCATTAATAACAACAAGAGATGTTTCTTGAGCAACGAATCAGAATATTTGAATGATTTCTGAAGGATCATGTGACACTAAACACTGGAGTAATGATGCTGAAAATATGGCTTTTAAAATAAACATTTAAATTGTAATAACATTTAATAACATTACAGTTTTATTGTGTTTTAGATTAAATGGATGATGAGTATAAGAGACTTCTTTCAAAACTGTTAAAAAATATATTACCACCCCTAAACTTTTAAACAGTAGTGTACAGAGCCATAAAAGTATTCAAAGTGGTTTTAGGGAGTCGCTAGTTATATATATTATGATGTTTATGCATGTTTTGGGGTGGATTTTTAAAAGAATGTTGCAAAATTGTACCGTTAACTATTACTATCTGTACTGCCAAGAGTAGTGTTACGATACATTTCAGAGTATGAGCTGCAGTTGTATGTAGTTTTAACAATATTTAGTAATGTGTATTGTTTAATGGTTACATTTTTGCTACAGTTGGTCACTTAGATGAATTCTGCTTTTCTCATGTCTGAGTCCTTCATAACTCACCTTGATATTGGTGGGGACTTTTATGTGTTATTAAACATCTGATGAGACAAACTAATGACCTTATGATACAGATCTAAGGTCATCATCCATCTGCCTGTCTAATCTACACACCCTCACCTGTTGAATTCTATCTGCAAACACCTTTCTGTTGAATTAATTAAAAATAAAACACAAAAAAACTAAAATAAATGTTTATTAAATCACAACATTATAATGTACAGTATGAAAAAACGGACAATTCATTTTGACAATGGCTTAACAGTCTTATTAAATTACTAGTGTTTTTACAGACTTTAAATGAAAGTTAGTCTATATGTCAGACCCTGTTGGTTTATGAAATTGTTAACTGTTGCTGAGACTCAGCAAAGAAGATTTATAAAAATGAAAAAATAAATAAACGGAGCAGTTCTTATAGGGTCCTTGCACCATTGGGGCTTGTGTCCTAAAAAGATCACTGCAGATCCCCACCAGATCACGGCACATATAAATGATGATAATGAAGAGGATGATGAGGTGCATGTTTGTACCTTCGATCCACTATGTGGCATTCTGCTGGAGCTCTTCTCAGGACCAATGGAAGCAGACTGCCGTGATGACGTGCATGCTTCTGTGTACCTCACCGATGAGTTCGCTATGGACACAGACACACACAGGTTACATTCACATGACCCTCTTATGCACATGTACACCTCATAAGGACAGAAGTGTTCGCAGAGGTTCGTGTTTGTACTTACATGCAGAGTCGGACAGTGCTGTGTGTGATGATTTTCTCGAGCTTTGTGATGACACTGATCGAGCGCTGTTGATTCTGTCCCGTGTTTTTTTCAAAGGAGGACACATGTCCAAAAACACCTCCTGGCCCTACACAGACAAAACTCATTTGAATAACTATTCACATAAACAAATAGGAATGCAAACAAAAAAGCTGTGTGTGTGTGTGTGTGTGTAGTAGTACCTTGACTGAGGATGTGGCCATATCAGATGAGCTTTCCTCCAATCCAAACTCTCTCCTTCTCTCCGCTCGGACTTCAGCATAACTTTAGAGAGAGACAAAGTGTTTTGTTTTTACTTTTCATTCTTTCAACTTGTACATCCACTGTGAAAAGCTGTAGACCAGTGGTTCTCAACTTTTTTGACTCCAACACTGTGTCTACACCTGCGCCGCAACAGCTCGAGGCTGTCAACGGTGGACGCGACAAAGCGACCGTTGCAAATCCATTTGTTCTTCGTGTCAGATGTAGCGTGAGCGCTTGAAGTATGTCAGAAATAGAACGGGGCTTCAGTTTACTGTCGGGAATTTGTTGTGTCACATTGCGCCGCATCCAGTGTAGACATCATCACTCCCCATTGACCACAACAATTTTTGAGGGCCTCTTTTTCAGTTGTTTGTGATTTACTGGATAAAAATAAGGATTTTTTTTTTAATACATAAAATATACTTACAATTTCTACCCAATAAAATATTCTAGAACTTGTCATTACTAGAAAAATGTTTATTCTTTAGAAAAATGCCCATAGAGTTGTAAGATTTTATGAATTTTAAATAATAATCCATTTACAGGACTTTTCCAGGAGTCTTTCTCATATATCCAAGATTTCCAAGACTGTAGGAATACTGGTTCTTCAAGGACAAAAAAATAAGAAATAACTTGATTTGTAGTTGCTTTTTCATTTTTTTTTTTTTAAGTCATCTTGAGGACCCTGTGGAAGTTTTCTGATGCCACCAAGTGGGCCCTGGGCCCCTGGTTGAGAACCACTGCTGTAAAATGACCCTGTAATGTGGTGCATTTCTGAAAACAGGGTACATTTTGAAGGCCAAATCTGTAGTAACACAAACTAACCACTAGATGGAAACTGAGGCTAAAAGATAATAGACATTGTAAAACAGACTCAATTAATTGAGCTGATAACCATATTAAATACTTGGATTTTATTTTTTGAAGTTATGAACAGGCATTTGAACACAGATATCCATGTTACAAATATTAATCCTAAACATTTTTAAAATGCTTCAATATGCTTGTGCGAGTGAAGTGTTTTTGTTTATACGCATATAAAATTGAGTGTGTGTACTTTCCAGTGTGTGACTTAGACTTCTTTATTGTCATTGTAACAGAGACACAACGAAATTCTCTGTGACACAAGCATATAAAAACTACAATTCCGACAAACATTAAAATGACAAAGAACAACAAATTTCAATTAATTAAATCCAATGATATATATAAAGAATATATAAAAATAGAATATAATCAAGACATGTCAAGTCGAAACAAGCTATTTGGTTTCTTAAGGTGCTTTGCTTTCCAATATACATGTATGATTTTTTTTTTTTTCATATGAATGGTGGTGTGTTTTACCTGACCACGTTGTGTGTACAGACGATAAACTCTGGTTTGGAGTTCCACTGGTGGTATGTGATGTAATAGTGTGTCTGTAGCCAGATCCACTGCTGCCCTTTAGTCAGGAACCGATAGTAACAGGATTTTCCTTTCCCAAATTGCATCACTGCAATACACACATCCATGCACACAAGCTCTCAAGATCAAAAGTCTCTAAAAAAGATTAGAGAGCTTCTCACAAGGTCTCTCATCTTGCCTGGTGGGAAAGCTCCTCAAGTTTTCAGCTCCTCTGTGATTCACACAAACAGCACAAAATTTCCAAGCCAGTACACTGACCTAGTTTTAGAAGAGAGCGAGAGCGAGAGAGAGAGAGACTTTGAGATAACACTCACATTGTTTATGACACTGAGCAATCAGCTCCAGGTCGTCCACATGGTAGTAGTCGTAACCAGAGGTCCCCAAAACCTCAAACGGTAGGTACCCGATGATAGGAGAGGCCCTGCGAACACACACACACACACGTTCAGTACATACTATCTGCTAATTCCAAGCATTGGCCCAATTTACAAAACACAAACTCAAATCGTATGTCCTTTCAGACCCATTAAAAAAGGCTGAGCATTTCCCCTTGAGACTAAAGGAATGAAACATGGGGGCTCAGATGAGCCGGCAAACACTCATCGCCATGGAAACCACTGAAATAAGCAAGAGCTTGGTGTCCATAGCCTGCCTGAGTCTGTAAGTGTTTGTAAATAAAGAGGCATGTAAGCTTAACAGTGAGGTGTCAGTAAGATTAAAAAAAAAATGTTTTATCAAAATTACAGTAAAACCGTAATATTGTGAAATTTATTACAATTTCGTTTTCTATTTTTATATATTTTGAAATTACATTTATTCCTGTGATGACAAAGCTTCATCATGACTCCAGTCTTCACGGTCACATGACGATATGCTGATTTGGTTCACAAGAAAAATCTTTCATTATTATCAAAATGTAAACCAGTTGTGTGTGTGTTATACGTTTTATAAATTCCCCAATGTAAACACTCTGTCTCACAAACACTGTTTGTTTGACAATTTGGACCAGAGCAACACTGGCTCAACCAATTGTGTGAGTTTGGGCGCAGGCAGGACTATCTGCATGACTGACCAATAGAAAATGCAGGGAGTGTTAAGGAAACCTGTTTGAAAACCACATTATTTTTGTTGATGCTGAAATTGCACACTTCCCCTTTAAAGAGAGAGTTTGACGAGACAGCTCGAATGTCCAATTATAGCTCTGTGGGGAACAGGACATCCAGTACTCACACACACACATGGTTATGTAACTCTCTGGGGGTCAGAAAAGCCTCCTGAGTAAATAATCACTATCCTGAAATTTATGAATGGCCACAGCTGAATAAAAACATCACATTAAAATAGGAGTGTGAGAATAGATTCAAGCACACGCAACATCTGATGACATCCCTGGCCCTCGCAGCCGTGCGTGGGACAGCGGAAAGTCTGAATTAGCAGATGTAAGTGGGTCAGAGACTGATGAATGAATTAAGCAAATGACAATCAGAAAGAGTCACGAATAAACCTACGAAATGGACCTAACGGAGTGCAGTACAACAGACCATGCAGAACCACAACATCAGAGTCATTTGCATAATTGAGCGGCATTTGACTCACCTGTGATCTAAGAAGAGAAATTTCCATTCCAGACTGTGTCTTGATGTGAATTCATCACACACATCCTCCATGTTGCACATATCCTATAACACACACACACACTAAGTCTGTCCTTCCTTTGACGTAAGGATGAATGCAAGTAGTGTGTGTAATATTGATTTTGTGCATGTGTGATTCTGTGCACTGTTACCTTCAGAAACTGAGGGGTCACGAGTCTCACTGTGGCTATGAGACAGATCTGCTCCTCTAATGAAGACTGCAGTGTGCGCGGGAACGCCAGCTCATAACCGTTACATGTAGACAGAGGCACTGCAACACAGAAAAAACATCATGTTCTGTTTAAAAAACACCCACAATGACCAGATTTCAGAGATTAAGTATTAAACTTGGCACAACTTAAGGTATATTTTATGTATATTACACCAACTTCTAGTGAATGGCAGTGAATGAATTTAAAATGTATTTTTTACTTCTATTTCTATACTTATTTTACTACTATTTTGTATTATTATTAATAATTTATACACAGTTGCATAACCATAGCCACTATGTTAAGCCTGTGCTTTAAGAACTAGTCTGACCAACTAGCAATTAGTTAGGGGTAATCAGTCTTACCTTTCAGATTTAAATTAGAACAATCTGCCTTTTTATGTAACTGACTTTTAAAATTCATGACCAGTCTTGAAGAAGAAAAAAATGAGATGACTAACTTGTAAGACTAGTCTAAGCAGTTTATGCAACCGGCCTTGATTCTTCAATACAAATCTTGATTCTTTAAAAAAATATATATATTTAAATATTGTATTTATTTTTATAAATAAAAAAATAATTATATTTTATTATATTTCAATGTAAAATTATATATATATATATATATATATATATATATAAACAAATTTTAACTTTATATTATTCTAAAAAGTTATGTTTCAAGCAGTGGTTATAATATTGTACTTGAACTTTGACTTCTTAAACAAGAAAGCTAAAAATGTTTACAGAGAGGACTAGCATTGTTCTGGTCTTCTTCTCATTTTCACATTCCCTTTCAGTAAAAATGTGACCTCATAATGACATTCTACATGTAAATCAGGAGACAGACAAATAGTTCCAACATAGGCAAATCATCCTCCTCATTAAATCTCTTCCTCAACCAAATACACAGGAAGAAACACAAATGCATGCTCACTCCAATTGCTTACTAACACAGCTAAAGTTGACTTCTCAAATCAAGTAATAAACAGAAATATAACAATATCCATCTATATCCATCAATTATTAGTGTCTATCTTTGTGTTGCATGTAGCTCTGGTAGATGTAAAAAATAAATAAAAACCCACCGTTACTATGAAACTTGAAATCTCCAACAAATTTGACATATTCATATGTGGGCGGTTCTTTCGGGTTAACATTCCCCCTCGCTAAATGACAGCAGAACTCGACGTGCGTCTCATCTGAAAGAAAGAAAGTGTGCACAGGGAGAGGAAAGAGACTGTTAGCAGCTGATGTAACAGCAATTCAGTTTGCCAGACAAACCCACAAGGTTGATGTTCTATTATGGCTGTGGCCTAAGTGTGACTTTGATGATTATCCAAAAATACATACAATGACCTGACAGACCATACAACAGTGTGTGAGTGTGTGTTTGTTTTGTTCACAAGCGAGTGTGACCAGTGAAACAGAGGTGGTTCTGGTGATCGAAAGAGATCAAAAAGTCAACAGTGACTGTTTTTTCTACCTGTATCTCTCAGTATTAGTGTGTGTGTGTGTCTCTCTCAGGGATTGGGGTCAGAGCTGTATGTGGGATTATCAGGGTGTTGTAACAGATAATCTCTGTTACACTGCACACGCAGAGCCTCTATAATTAGCCTTGAGTGTAATCATAGAGCACAATACATCCAGGCAATAAGACGGCACACTCTCACAGCATATTGCATCTGTGTTTTCAGGTGTGTGAATGTGTGTGTATACACTCACTGCTGTTGAGTAGGTCCACAGCAGAAGGCTCCGTCAAGAGCATGTGTGATGACAGAAGTTTGTACACCTCTCCGTGCTCTCGCTCTGGCAGGAAGTTCAAAATGTTCTGGTCCACCATATCTGACTGAGACACAGCAGTATCCATAGCAACGTCACTCCCAGCTCGCTTCCATCAGTGCTACACAATGCACTACATTTCCCACAATACTAAGCACTTCAGTATAACATGATTTCACAAGAAATTTCATTTTGAATAATTATTCATCATTATTAATTGTAATAATAATTAGCTATCCATGAAAATTCAAAAGATAGGTCCTACAGCATCATCAGCTTGTGGCAGTGTTGTTATTGTTAACTAATACCGAGGGCCAGATTTACTAAACAGGGCAAATTAGCATGAGGGTGCAATTCCAAAAAAGCGCAGATGGGAGTGAAAATTAAAGAACACAGACGCAGCCGGATCATTTTCATAATGACCAGCGCAATCTACCAAGAGCAGTGCAAATTAGCATCTGGTTTAGGATGCTTTTTTGGGCGCTAAATAATGGTGCAAATACCAGTAAATTGACTAGTGAAAACCTTAGTAAATAGCGTTGTGTGATTAATTTAAATACTCTTCTCCCATAAAACTCCTACAAATGCATATGCAATAAGGTCAGCCGCAAAAATACTTATTTACTATTTTTATAAAAAATACTATTTTTAACGCCAAAAGAAGGTTTGTGCTGGGCAAGCTGTTAGTAAATCTGGCCCTCAACCTATTAAAAAACATGTTTGGTAATTCAAAATAAAGTTGAAATAAATCATATATTAGATGAAAATTTGAAAATGTTGCCTTGGCAACTAATTGAAATGAATAAGTTTAAGTGTAAGCATAATTAAACTAAAACTCAAATAAAAATAACTTCAAGCTATACAGAAATATAAAAGAAAAGCTAATAAAAGCACATACAATTACGAAAAACTAAATTCAAAATAATAATAAATACAATAATAATATATAAATAATACTAAAGCTGCCTTGTTGCTTGAACCAGCATTCTGCTGTAACAGGAACTGGCACCATCTCAACAAAATCATAAGAGTATTAGCACAATCTGTGTAGATCCATAATTGCCACACATGACCTCAGTGCCACCTGAGTTCAGCTTGTTTGATTCCTAAATAACAAGAGTCTGCTAAGCCCACCTCTCTGCTTGAGGTCAAAGGTTATGGCTTTGACAGTGATGGAACTAATCATCATCACTATTATCAAACCGCATTTGTGACCCACACACAGCAGGAACCGAACTAACAGTAAAGTTTGGAATAGGGCTGTCACTTTTGTGAAAAAATCCTGATCGATTTTTGAGACATAAATGTTCATTGAATCGATTGTAAAATCGATTTTCCATGTCTAAAAACGTTTCCATTTTCAGCGCCAAATATAGGCAAATCCACGGACAACTAACAGGCATTAGGACGAACGTAAAGAGTGCGCTTGAGACGCGCACAAGTCAGCAATATTTCTGATGATTTATTGGCATGAAGTTTCGTGCACAATGACAAACAGGAGTGCAACGTTCTCGAAAAACAATAAGCAGAGTGGACTGCCATAACACCAATGAAAAACATTACTGCAGGCTTCGACATGGCTGTGTTTACGATTAGAAATGTCAAACAAATTTCGCCTACGTAGGCGATTGTAGGCCGAATCTGTATCTGTATGCATGAGACTGTCTGAATACCGGCAGAATTCACATTTTTGTTGTAAAAAGAGACACATTATGCAGAAGTATAGTATAGTTTGTATGTGTGTTTGTCAGAGCCTGCAGTTGCTGTGTGACGCGCGTTCGCTGCGGGCGTGTCGTCGTGACGAGCTGGACGCGCTCCGAGAGAAGGCCGTTAAAATCGATTCCCTATTTTCGTTTTCGATACTTGTGTTGGTTGGTCCGATCGATTGTGCAATCGATTTTCGAACATAAAGTGACAGCCCTAGTTTGGAAGCAAATCTCATTAGACTGGCAGCATGGGATCACACTCTGAATGGATTTTGACACATTTGCAGAGTTAAGAAGAGAGGTGCATTGATTCAGGTTTATGAAATGTTTGTTTTTTTCTGTAATAAGTTAAACCACTTGACTGGCAATAAGCCAAAGCACTTGACATTTCATGATTTTCAGATACTGTACAGTTCTGAACATCTAATAAAAATCTGCAGCATTTCCTAAGGACTGTTGTCAACCGCTTACAGAAAATCTGCTGTGTGTGGGCTGTCTTAACTATGTTTAGAAAAACATAGGCAAAATAGCATGAGTTTGCCTGACTAGTCATAATAAAACAGGGTTTTATTCTCAGAGGTAATGAGTTCATCCAAATCAAGTTCTCTTTAAATCCCATTGGACCCCACCCCATCACTTACCGGCAGATGGCCAATGAGAGACGAGACACTGTCAGATACATATATGATGTTCCCATCTGTGGTAAGAGCTATTAGGAAACCATCCAAAGCCTGCCATCACACAGAAAATTACATTCTGAATCAGCAGAAATTCTCATAATATACTGATGAAAGTTTTCCCTCTGTTATTTAAGAAATAGTTCATCTAAAAATAAAAATTCTGTCATTATCGAGTCATCATTCAGTAATTATTCAGTGAATGACTGAGCTGAACTTTGAATATTGGTCTTGTCCCCACACAAAATAACGGATGGGTATTCAATTTGAATCTAATTAATGTGCAAGATAATTTATTCATCTAGAAATTCTTTCCTCAAAGCTGAGAACGCTGGTTAAGAAAAACCTTTGTAGGTGCAGAATGCTGCCTATCAGGCTCTTGAAGTTGCACAATATTTTTTCATTGTTTTCTTAACGTAACAAGAAATACACAAAGGATTCCCCAACGCATAACATCTTCACGTGTCACTGCTTTTATAGGCATGATTCACTGTACTTGTACATTGGAAAGTCTGAGACTGGGAACTGACAAGAGCCTGAGCTTGTTTTTAAAAGGAAGTGTTCATGTGTGAATGTTTCCTTAATGCAGGAAACTCTGGGGATAATTAAAAAACGCCCCATACAAAGCGCAACATCCGGTTTTCAGGCTCTAGGAATGCTGTGCGCAGTTCAGACTGACTCTGTATATTCACTTCATGTATTTCTGCTACTCTACATGATTAAAGTTAAACATTTTCCTTTATTTGTAAAATGGGTTTTCTTCAAGGAGGCAACATGGTTGAGCCTGAAGCAGTGCTATAAGGCATCTCATAGTCTCACAAAACACATGATGTGTTGACAGCATGGGGCTTAATAAATACAGCTGAAGTATGGAATATTCCCACAAGACTACAGAAAAACTGAAGGTGAATGAGGCAGATATGATGCTTTACCTCCAACATTAACTGGGTGAATTCCTCATTGCTGAGGAAAGAAGGCTTCCAGTCCTGCCGGACCTCACAAGATTCTGTTTGACCTGTGATCTCTGGAAAACACCAAACGGCAGGAAGAATTTTTTTTAGGAAGGCTGTAAGAACATGATTATGGAATTCTGAGAAAGGGAATGTGTGAACTAACAAGTTTGGATGGAACGGATAAAAATCTTAAGAAATTTATATCAAGCAGTAAGTAAGGTCTGAGATTGGGGGAAGTTGGGAATGGCACTTGAACTGTTTATAGGAGCAGTGAAATCTGCTGCCAGTAAACGTTGTGCCGACGGCCTGACAGCTGTGCCCTGGATTCAGACAGGAAATGGAACTGGGCCCATCACAGAGCAGCTCCTGGCACTCAAAGGTGTTGGTAGTGGCACCCCCAGGAGCTTGCAGCAGTTTGCTCCTCCCACCAAATGCAAAAATAAAGTAAAAAGTATTCTGTTCTTCAAACCAGGGTCCAAAATTAATACTCGCCAAATGTGCGTAAATCATGGGCTTAGCGAGTAAATAAAATGGAGTCAATGTTTTAAATCAATTGTGGCAATGATAATACGATCATCACTGGTGTGAGGTGGAGAGATTCAAAACAAATCCAACCGTCTCCCAAAACAAACATCTGTGACTCTTTGAGGTTTACCTCTCTGGAAAAAGTTTAGCTGAATGCCTTAAGGATTTTTTTACACCAGAACTCCACCCTTCCATACACAAATAGGAGGAACAAAATCATGATTTACGTCTTCATGTCTTTGTGCCAGGTGCAGTTTCACTTAGAGGTGAAGAGTAAGACTGGCTAATATTGTGTATGACAGTTAAATTAATTAATTAAAAAAATTAAAATATATAGAAATATTTGTCCTGGATGATAATATTTAGACATTTACAATAAAATAAATGTATTTAATACACACATATATACATGATGTTTTATTAAATATAACATTTATTGCAGAATGCTGCTATGGTTTGAGCTGGGTATCATTCTGCTTTTTTGACTACATTTTCTTAAAAATTTCCAAATGAAATCAATGAAATAATTCATATAACAAGGCATATAAGGCAATGAGAATGGAACACAAACATAAATTTCCATTAAACTGCTTTTTTTTTTTCGTAGACTGGGAGCAACTCTGAATATTTTAACATGATTTTTCCCTGACCTTTCTGTTTCTGCAGGAAGTCAATGGTCCTCTGCAGGATGGTGGATTTGTCCATCTTGCGGGGGTGACCTTGACCCTGCAGCATAGTACACAGCTCTTTAATGAGAACATTGAACTGGTCTCTCCTCTTCTTCTCTGATTTATTACGGGACGCCCTGCAGAGAGATGGGCAGAAAGAGATGACACTCACATTACTTCAGACAATCAGAGATTGAAGATGGCATGTTTGTGTCTGTGTGTATTGGTTTGCATGTAAGAAAAAACATGAATTAAAAATGCATGTACACATGCTGACTACGGAACAAATATATAAAATGGAATAAAAGAAAATCTTAATGGCGTAATTTTACTGACAGTTCTGTTCTGAAACTACAAGTCAAAAAGAAAATGTCTGTATGTGGTGATGATGGTGTTTGTGTATGCTTTCTCATGAGGATCTCAGATAACTGTAGAGAATTACAAACATTTCTGTTCTAGGCATCCGTATCTCTTATATACCTTCAACAATTTTACAATTTCATTTCAATTACAACTGAGGATAATGATTTTAGGCTTCCAGCTAATGGTTTATACACTTGCAACATGATATAATAAGTAAAATTGGAAACACCTGTGCACAATGTCATGCAAACTGACAAAAATATTGTGAGGTTTTATTTTTTTCAGATTGCTTTTTTTGGATTGAAGTTTGTTATAGAAAAACGTTTTTTTCCCCCCCCCTAATTTTAATAATAATAATGCCTTCTCCCATCAAAAAAACTCTTTCAACCCTTTCCATTATCTCCAATTTCCATTACTCTCTTTCTCTCTATATATATCAGCCCTAGACACTCACAAGTAAAATCTATTGTATTGAGTGAAAGTGTGAAGAGCTTTTAAAGGTGTGATTTCTTAAACGTCTCTGGGCACAATTAAAGTTCACAGGTTTACAGTCTAATGTGGGATTTTATAATTCAACATAATCACACAATAATGTGTAGCCTACCATCACTATAAAGAGCAAAACACACACAGACCTTTTTGCTCTGTCCTTCTCATCTTCGTCCATTAAATCATCCACACAGCTGCTTGTGCTGCAAGCAGAGGAAAATGTTTTCTACTTAAAATTCCTATTTGGCACCATCAAAATCTCACCGAACAATAAAACATGGCAAATTAATTATAAATGGACAAAAAGGACAAGCATATTGTGACATTAGTGTGGACTCACTCCCATTCCCTCCGGCTGGATGGACAAAGGCCTCCAAACTCCGAAAGGTTGTCCATGCTCACTCCTTCTCCCATTCAGGCCGTCTGTGAAGGCTGGCGTGTCCCATTCGCGTTTTCTACACTTAAAACACCCACAGAAATTCTAATAGACGCCACACGCTAACCACCTAATGCTAGTGGTAAGCCACTACTCCCAATTCTCAGATGGCTTGCCGTCGGTGTTACCCCACTGATGATTGGCAGCCGATAGATGCTGAGGTTATGTCCTTATGGCTAGCCAGTCCTTGAATGCTAAAAACTGGCTTTTCATCAAGATATCGTTAATCGATATCCAGCCAAAAAATGCTAATGTACACTTGCAGAACTTCGTTCTCTCTCCATGAAGTTAGTGGTGGAAACAGTAGACCCTGTGGAGGAAAACAAAAAGGGGGTTTTAATTTTCAGTATTTGGCTGTATTTATGATCGTTTTTATTCTGATTCAATTATACTGCAGCTAAAATTGTTTGGTATTGTTAAAGGCTGGGACACGCCAAGCTGACGGTCGGCGGTCGGGCAACGTTGGGCTGTTTTTGAGCGTCGGACGGCTCTGGGTTTTTTTTCGGTTTCTGCCGCACCATTGGCACTAGTCGGATGCGTCAGGTTTTTTTGGGTCGATTCAGCATGTTGTACAGGCGTCGGGCCGTCGGCGAGAGAACTCTGATTGGCTGTTCAGCTTAGCGAACGAGTCAGTGCACAATCATAAAAGGGAAAGTGATAAAAGCAAAGTCAAAGTCAAAACAGTACAGAAGCTGTTAGAAATTTACGTCATCTTATCTGAGCATTCGAATGCACGAATATTATTTTCATAATAACGTGAGCCAACTGGATCAGCATGACTGATATTCAAAATGGTAAGCAAGCGCTGCTTTGTTTTCGGTTTATATATCTGCAGTACTAGTTTCGGTTCCCTTTTTTTGAATGACGAAAATTGACTATTGATAGGCCTACCTGCTGATATAGACAGATATTTACTTACACACAGGTGCAGAACGAGCGCATATGCTTGTTGACAGTCACCTTTAGTCATTTTGGTGTGTTCAAGTGCGCTTTTGGTAACACTTTATTTCGATAGTCCACTTTAGACATTCTACTAACTATAAGTAACTTTTCAACTTCATGCCAACTAACTGTCATTAGAGAATTAGTAGACTGTCTGCTTAATATCTGCTAACACTTTATTTTGTTTGTCCCCCAACAGATATTCTGCTGACTATAAGTAACTTAGCAACTACAAGTCAACTTGTTCTCCTAACCCGAACCCTAACACCTAACCATAACCTACCAGTCTACTGACAGTCTACTACAGCCTACTAATACTCTAAAGACAGTTAGTTGACATGTAGTTGAAAAGTTACTTATAGTTAGTAGAATGTCTAAAGTGACTATCGAAATAAAGTGTAACCGCGCTTTTTTGCAGAGACGCCATCGATGAGGCGCAACGACACAGTTCGCTTTCGTCGCCGCTAGTTCTTTGATGTTGGCTTGGTGTGTCCCGGCTTTAGTACCACCAGGTTGGTCATGTCATCTCAACATGCCAACTAAAATACATCATTTTAAATATATTTTTTATTTTTCTTGAATACGGTTTTGCGTCATCCACTGGACTTTCGCCTACAAATAAACCAGCAGATCACGGTGTATGGAGAATATACTACTGATATTGTAACTTCTGGTTGAAAATCGGCAACCCTGCTTTAAAGGTGCAGTAAGCTATTCCAAAAAGGAAAACACCCCTATCTTGATAGCTCCACCCCCAAATTTACTGATTTACTGATGCAGCACAGGCCCCTTACTGCTGATTGGCTACAAGTGTGTTTTGATGCTCAGTCCGATCCACTTTCAACAGCTTTTCTCAGAAATCACTTACTAGACCTTTAATGCACCTTAAATAGTTCACCTAAAAATTAAAAATGTTGTCATCATTTAATGGTATCCATTGACTTCCATAGTAGGAAAAATATATACCATGGAAGTCAATGGTGCCCATCAACTGTCTGGTTACCAACATTCTTTAAAAAAAAGTTATTGTGTGTTCAACAGAACAAATAAACTCATACAGGTTTGGAACAACTTGAGGATGACAACATTTACATTTTTGGGTTAACTATCCCTTTAATACCTGGCACAAATCACAAAGTTTCATTTTACAATAATAAACAATAAAGAAAATATCACAAAAGCAGAGCATTTGTTCATTCCCTCGTCATGAAGCTGCAAACTGTATTGTGTATAATCAACAAAAAAGTTCAAATGAGTGAATTTTTTAAGAGTGTTAAAATTAAACAAAATTCTGTTTAAATGCATGAATTAGAAAAAAAGACCAACAACATTAATTAGTTACTCTCTCTCTCCCACCCTGTCAAATGAATAAAACATTGGCACCTCTCCAGATACATTACAGTTCAGCAAAGCCCGCAGACACCACATGCTGTGTGCTTCGTGATCAAAAATCATCCAAAAGTACACAGCTGAAAACTCATCAGCTGATTAATATATTATGTTAAAATTATTATATTCATTTAAAATGTATATTTCAGATAATTACAACTGAAAAATCCCACCCAGACCTTTACTTTAAACATTGTTCATGACAGCTAAAATAATTTATATAAAAGTGCAAACTAATCAGTAATATGAATAAATTCAAAAGCTAAATATTAGCTTGAAGTGTCGTCTTACTGGAGGCACAGTGAGTTAATTAATGTTTCAAGTGTTACAATTTGCCCCAGCCACACTGATAGTAACACTCTTCTTGAATTGAATATTATGATGTAATCTGTAAGTCTTACTTTTTAAAGTAAAAGGTTACAATTGCCCCTGATCTCCCTTACATTCACAGTGAATAAAAGGTATAGAATCAGTATATGAAACATGAAAAATATGGAATGTGCTTCCAAAACTGATACATTTTCATCATTATCTCACCCCTGAATCTGTTGAAGCACTACAGAACCTGTTCATCATCTAGACCTACATACTCATGTCTCATTTAATAACTGCCTACTTGTTTCTCACGACAACCTCTGGAATGATGAGGATTTTGGGTGTACCAGAGCGGTTATAGCTCAAGTCTAATTACATACAATCTCCACCTTAGTCCAGTCAATAATCCTGCTTCAGACTACAGCGTAAATGGTTCAAACTGAGGTGCAAACATGTTTAATGCAATATCCAATGACAAAGTAAAGAAAACTGCACGAGAAGTATTGTGATGACACCTAGGCTTAAGCGTTAATGCAACATTGGCACAACCCTCAGGAAATGTTGAATCGGATTCGGCAAGGAGTGCCATGACCTAGAAACATCTTTTATGCCAAGCTCATAAACCAACACAACAGCCAAGAAGAAAGAGAAAAAGTGGGGGAGAGAGAGGAGTAGTTAGAGTGTATGAGAGAGTTAATGGTGCATTGTGTGTGTGTTACAAATCCACCAACAAGATAGAATACTGCACACCTTATCAAACAGCACTTGGAAAAATATATTTCTTTTTCAGTTTTTTTTTGTCTTACGCTGGCTCTGTGACACTATAGAGGATAAGCGGTTTGGAGAATGGATGGATAGATATTTTTATGGGAAATAAGACAGAAATACTAAAAACATAAAACAAGATGAATTTACTTTAGATAAAATTCTATAGTTTTCAAAGAATATCTCTTGATTTCATTTTTTTCTTACCAAACTAAAAAAAAAAAACTTTGTCAATGAGAAAAACAAAATAAACTTAATTCAAGAGATTGGGTCAGACACATACATGGATAGATAGTACAGAAGAACAGAACAGTTGATTTTACAAAACAAACAAACTGATTCCTGCTTCGAATGACAGATTTTCATCAGTTATTATTAGGAGGATAATTTAAGTTAGTTAGAATATACATTTGTATTTTTTTAGGAGATGCTCTGCAATTAAAGGTCTAGTAAAATAAACTCTGTCTATTTTTGGCTGCTTGTTTGGACATTTTCCAGTAATGTAAGTCAATTTGGTAAGAAGCGCCGGCTACACAAAGAATATAAATGGAAAAGTATAATACAAGCAGAGAAAATACTTAACAGCAGATGAACTAGGGATGCACAAATCTATGTTTTCAAAACAGTCTGCCTGAACAACTAGTTGACAATGACATATTATATACACACACGTCACATCTCAACTGTGGTTTGTGGATATAATTCCATAAATCTGACAGTTCTTACTTATCAGCTGAGAAGAGGTGTGTGTCAGACAATGACTGACCTATATTCTCTCACACACACACACTTCATTTATATACTATCTTAAAACATGTTTCGCTCTGCAAAACATCACACTGACAGACCTGTGAGATTAGCCAATGGCAAAGTTCGTATTTCAGGACAAAAATAAAAGTAAAAATATTCAGTGTCTTTAAAAATATTAGGTTGTAATGGAAAGTTTCTAAACCAAAAACTGTTAGTAAGAGAAACGCGTTTTACCCAGAGCTTGCTATACACATCAGCCAAAATTTACAAAAATGGAAGTGTTTGCAATTTACTGTATATATTTACATCAATTTCATACTATAAAGCTGCCTCGGTGTGTGTGTGTGTGTGTGTGTGTGTGTGTGTGTGTGTGTGTGTGTGTGTGTGTGTGTGTGTGTGTGTGTGTGTGTGTGTGTGTGTGTGTGTGTGTGTGTGTGTGTGAAAATTCAATTTGCCGACCATTCAGTGTCTCATTCTGTCCTGAAAAACCCCTCAATCTCAGATGAAATCCTAATATTCATGATTAAAGCAAGGCTACAGTGTCTTCCAACGAAGTACAATTTGGCAACATGGTATCCATCAAAGCATGAACCCTACTGTATATTACATCCAACTCAGCAGGAGAATAAAACGGTTGCTCACATATTAAATGGATGCTACTATTATAAAGGACTTTATGTGGCCAGACATGACCGTCTGGTTGATTTGGTTGCAAAGGACTTGCATAAGGTAACCTGTGGACATGATAGTAAGATTTACAAGCATAGCACTGTACAAATTAACTGGTTTCATCATAACGCATCCAACAGTGAGTACTTTAAAAACATTCCTAATACTCCTGACGTTGTAATTGTATGAGGGTATGAAATCTGTGTGTATCCTTGAAGTGGCTTGCTGTTTTGACCTGTATATGGATACTTGCTACTATTCCAAATTATTGAAATATCAACCACTGGTAGATCTCATTCACCAACTTGGATACAATTGTAAATTAATAATTCTGGTATTTGGAAGTTTAGGCCATGTCCATAAGAATGTGATCA